TGGTGGGTGATTAGATGGTAGCAGATACTAATTTGTTATAAGTATGATCAGCTTTAATCAAATCACAAGCTAGTATTTTTTGGCAGTTGGAACCCTATAGCTCAACTTCCTTTTCAGAAAAGTTCTGTTAAAAAATGAGTGACTACCATCACAAAGATGAATTAAAAAAAAGATAGATAATGGGTAATGAATAGGAGGTAGTGGAAAATGAAACCTTAAACTTGTAAAAGAAGAGTTTTGGGAAAATTTTGACAAAACTATTTTTTTCAACTTCTTCACATTATTACCCTACTTCTTAAAAGAATTAGATTTTTAAAAAACTCTTAACTTTTTTTTTTCAGTTTTTAATAATAAAATTTTGATTTTTTAAAATAAAAACAAACTTTGTCAAACAAACATTTTGGGAAAACAGATGTTAAACAAGCCCTTCGTTTCTCCTTTTCTACTTCCCCCCTTTTTCCTAGACCGGATATAGAACGTGTAGCTAAAAGGTGCATGTGTTGCTTCATACAAGCAATAATGGTGCATGTGTTAGGGAGGAAGCTCACACCAGAAATGCTTTGGGAATACTCAAAAATAATTATTAAATTTTCATGTAAGAAAAGGAAGTTTTGTTTAAGAAATAAAATAAGTTTAGTGATAACGTGGGACCACTATATACCTGTCCTTCGTATGAAACGTGTGGTTTGGTTTAGAAAATCACCATAATCGGGTTTATACCTTTGTATTTTGGTAAAATTGGTTTAACTTCCAAGAGCTAACAAAGCAAAATGTCCCAAACCAATATGAAGATATTGGGGGGGTAACAGTTCCACTGATAGTCCTTGTCTTCTAATCAATGGATGTGGAAGCATAAAATTTTCTATACAGTGGAAGATGAGTGACGTTTCTGACTTGTTTCCATACTCTGCTTCAAGCCTAAATTCCTCGCATTACATTTACTTAATCTTCTCTCGTAGCATTTGTGGTTTTCAAATTTGAACTATTAGGCCTAATTTTAATCCAATTCAAATCTCATAATTGTAACAACCTTGATAATCAAATATTTCTATCCCTCAACTGAAATATGAAATATGAACACAATAAAAATACAAACGCTTGTTCTGTTATTGCTATCCTACACTTCACGTGTGCTATTTTTCATCCTGATGTTCTACCAGCATACTAATTTATGTAAATAATGTGTTAAGGCATAAATCAGGATTAATTTTCTTTAGTCAATATTTTTGGATATTGAGATATATAAGTCACAACCCACAAGCAGTATACACACGTTTTGAACATTTTATGAATAAATCAGCATCACCAATAATAGTGAAATGTGGGGAGTATGCTATTTCATTGACTGAAACACACGTTACATCACGTGCATTCTTGTTCTCCAGAAAAGTTGGAATTGGTTACTGTGTTTTAAAACATGTTTTCTGTATTCACCAATTAAATGAGTTTGAGAAGGTAAGCTTAAAATCCCATCAACCAAAAGAAAAAAATAAAAGAAACTAGCAGAGTTCGTTAATGCCAGGCAAAAAAAGACAAGAAGAAAATACAAACACTCAGTGAATGGTTTTTGTTTCCATAAAGATAGCAAAACAAAGAACATACCCCGAAAAAAAAAAGAAAAAGAAAAAAGAACACAAAAAAAGTGGTGTTCATATAGGGAAAGAAAGAGGTCTTGTGACAAGATGGATAATAGAGAGGCTCCCCTTTTAAATAGAGAAATTACAAAATAAAACTTTTTATCCAAACTACAGCTTAATTGAATGAAAGGAAATATTAGTATTCTTTAACAATGCAAAGGTACATCATAAAACCCATGTCGCATCTTTGGAGGATCATGTTTTCAATCATCATCAATGTTCCTCTCGGTAAAATCTACAGCCTCATTAAGTTTCATCCGAGGTATACTCATCATTGTTCTGTAGATCATTTTCATGGCACTTAACAAAACAAACATCATCTTGATATACAGGGCCAAAGATAGCATCAACTTTAGATAACAAAGAAGTCTTTAATGTCAGTGGCTTAATAACAAATTAAAAAGTGTATAAATAAAAGACTCATCAATTTAAATTGTCAAGGCTTTCTAAACAAATAGATCAGCCAAGTTTAGAGTCTATCTCTCAATTACCTTTAGATCGAGCCCGCACTCAAAATTCTAATATGATATAAGAGCTTATTCAGTTTAATATTATACCACTTATAGATGTTTAGCCTGCAAATTTCTCGCACCACATGTACAATCCTCAATGTGAAGAGGTATGTTTAATTGTGCCACGTCAGCTAGAAATAGAACCAAAATAATCTTTTTAAGGCTGTGACAAAATTCCTCCTTTATACTAATTTTTTGAGAGTTAACTAAGAAGTTGAGTAGTTCCAAATGTATTTTTGAAATAAAGGACATCATTGAAGCAGAACAACATCAAATAGCTCAATTTACCCTTCTGCTGGTGACTAGAATGTAATGTGGGAAGAAAGTACCACTCAAATGCATCTTCATATTTTCAGACATATTTCTCATGTTCAAACTGTAATGGATGAATGATCCCAAGATTTAACAGATGAATAGTAGTGAAAAGAAAAAAAATGCAAGTGCAGGTTAACAGTCTAAACCTAACATAAATACCAAGGAACTACAATAAAACAAGACATGTTCAACAGGTCTGAAGCACCAACTTTTGGTCACAGTTAGGTGTGAGTGTGACTACTAGAAGAGTTGAATAACAGGTATTGCCTAAGAAGTTCAACTAGGTCACTAACTTCAGAACCATATTCTTTTATTTTCAAATTGCACAGTTGATTCTTAACCCTTTTTTTTTGGGGGGGGAGGGGTTGTCCTCAAATTCCCTTCTGACATTATATGGCTAGCATCCTCAGGAAAAACAGATTCTGCAAATGTAACAAGCTGATTACTGGGTCCCACTTGTTTTTGGGTGTTTGAAGGACACTTCAAGTATTTTCTCAGCATCAAAAGGACGCTTTTGCACCATAATTACCTGCTAGAAAAGAATAAGCTTGCATCGCACTTCAAGCATCAGAGTAATTATTTAGTACTAATGCACCAAATCAATCACTAAGATCATTAAAAGAAATTTAAGAGGCAAAGTATTTGGCAGGAGGATGGGACATGTTACAACATTTGTCTGCAAAATACTTACTGTAAATAGGGAAAGAAAAAGATTAATAGAGTTCATCATAATGCTGAATACACATCTAAGTTTGTCCTCGTCAATTTGTATTACGTGCTTATCTAAGTTCTAACAAGGATAATGATGGATGCACATTTAGATTTTCTAAGGTACTTTCAGACTAATACTCTCATCGATTGGAATTCAATGTAAATAATAATATTAAACAATGTTTTAAATTAATACAATGGCATGTATGGTAATGGTTTCTACAGTTTTTTCAATTGGAAATGTTGTAGTGCATAAAAATTTCTCATCATAGCTAGCAGCCTGAGACTCTCAGCTTATGAGTCAACAAAAAAGTTTGTCCTAATCAGAATGCCAGGAATGTTGACTTTTCTACGGATCAGATCCTCTCAATTCTGAATCAACGGCATAGAGGTACAGTTTTTAATCTAACCATTTAAATATATTAAAATTTATTATTATATTAATATAATTTTAAGAGATAGATAATCTTATCTACCGTGAAAATGTCACTGCAGACAATCTGTATCCCTTTTCTACCATTTATGAACAAGAAAGAGAAAAAAGAGGGGAGTAAAATTCTTTTACATTTTTTGGGTTAATAAGTCTTAAAATAAAAATATAATAATAAATTAACATAAATTTAATATCCAAATATTTCTTTACTTATATAAATATTGCATAACTCTTATGATTTAAAAATATAAAGTTTGTTCTTTTTTTAAAAAAAAATTACTCTCAAACATATCATACAAAAATAAGTTAAATATAATTTAAAAACTTTGGTAAGCTAATTTTAATTAATAATCCAAAAACTAAAGTATCTATAAAAATTAATTAGAAAAAAATTCATTTTAATTTTAAAGAGATGGGAAGAAATAAATAGGTTCACCAAATGCTACCTAATGCGAAGACAATGTTGCATGCCGTTCTATTAATTAGACTACCTAAAGAGACAAATTAACTAAACAATCAAATCGGAACCTAAGCCAATCCAATTAATTAAACAAAGCTCAAAATAACTTGGTCAAATTATTTCACTAGTTGACTAATATTTATTGTTTTACCATTCAAATTATATCACAGGTTGCTAAATAACATAAAATTAGCCCAAATCAAAAGTCATGAAATATAATTAATGATTATTCAATGAACGTTAACTTTCTCTAAAATAAGGAAAACCTCGTCTCACTCAAATAGTCTTAAAATAACGAAGTTAACTAAATGAAAACAAAATGGGAAGTATTATTTTGTCTTATATATATTTATCTATATGAACTCAATGTCACATGTTCCTGGTCTAGTTCTAGCTCAAGAAACATAATTTACTGAGGAATCAAGCTTGCTTTATAATATTTTTAAAATTCCATGTCAAAATCTCTCAAGTTATTTGCCTTTATTTTAGCTATTTTATTCAAACTCCTAGATGAGTTAGATCTCTTTTACTTAACTTACGATATTTGTACCAAAATGAAAAGGCTTTATAAGATACTAGATTTATTTATGCTTCATTTTTATTTAAATATGAATACTCACTCTCGTTGAAACATAATAACATCTTAATTATCTCTGACACAAAATGGTCGGCAAGGCAGGGTTGGTGCTTTATCTGAGTTCAGCACTCTTAAGTTCACTGCCACAATTGCACCCAAAAAAATTCTAAATTGTGTTGAACAATACAGCCTCAATGGAATGACATTTTTATTTGAACAGTTTATACGAGCTTGCAACAACTAATAATTATTTTGCAACAACGAAGAAAGGAGATTTCATACATGCGTATTATATATCAGGAAAACGCATGAAATCATATCTTAATGTAGGGGGCAATCTACTTCCCTTGTCAAATCATGCATGCTGAGGCATGTTCTTCAGCCACTTGTCTAATGGCCTCCCAATTGAGTATACAATGAATCCAATCTCCCTCAACTTGTCAACATTCAACATGTTTCTACCATCAAACACAAATGCTGGTTTCTGCATATTGTCAAATACTTTTTCATAATCAATAATCTTGAACTCATCCCACTCAGTAAGAATGCACATACCATGAGCATCTTTAGTTGCCTCATAGGCATCACCAACAACATTAACCTGTTTCACAGTAGTGGAATGGTCCCATTCAACACCATCCATTGACAAATCTTTTTGAATCTGCTCCTCAGTAACCCTGGGATCATATATGCTCAAACATGCATTATCTCCCAAAAGTCCTTTGCAAACATCAATTGCAGGAGTTTTCCTAGTGTCACCGGTGTCTTTCTTGAAGGCAAACCCCAAAATTGCAATCTTCTTACCTGAAACTGTGTTGAACATGGATGTCACAACCCTGTTCACAAACCTACCCTTTTGGTAGTCATTCACCTTAATCACTTCTTTCCAGTAATTTGCCACTTCCATTAGGCCATTACTCTCACATATATAAACCAAGTTGAGCAAGTCCTTTTGAAAACAAGAGCCACCAAAACCAACACTAGCATTAAGGTATTTAGGCCCTAGTTTGGTGTTTTTGCTTAGAGCATGAGAAACTTGTGAAACTTCTGCCCCAGTGGCCTCACATAAAGCTGACATTGCATTGATAGATGAAATCCTTTGGGCCAAGAAGGCATTGTCAGCTAACTTGGAAAGTTCAGCTGACCAAAGATTGGTTGTTACGATTCTGTCATGAGGCACCCAATGGGCATATATACCCTTCAACTTTTGAATTGCTTCTTGGCCTTGAGGGTCTTCATTCCCTCCAATCAGAACCCTGTCAGGATTTAGAAGGTCCTGAATGGCAGTTCCCTCAGAAAGAAACTCAGGATTTGACAAAATTTGGTATCTAATGCCTTTGCTATTGTGTGTTAGAATTTTCTCAATTGCCTCAGCTGTTCTGACTGGGACAGTGGATTTCTCAACAACAATCTTGTTTGACTTCGAAACGTCAGCAATCATCCTAGCTGCACTCTCCCAATAAGTCAAGTCTGCAGCTTTGCCAGCTCCAAGCCCTCTAGTTTTTGTTGGAGTGTTCACTGAAACAAAAATTATGTCTGCCTCGTGCACATGCTTTTCTACATCAGTGCTGAATATTAGGTTCCTTCCTCTACACTGCTTCACCACTTCTTCTAGGCCTGGCTCATATATGGGTAGGTTCTTGCTGTTCCAAGCTGATATGCGAGAGTGAGAGATATCAACCACAGCCACTTCAATTGAGGGACATTTGAGGGCAATCACAGCCATTGTAGGACCCCCTACATACCCAGCTCCAATTCCGCAGATCTTCATCATTTTCTTTGGTTACAATCTACACCATGTGTTATCAATTTGAGTTCAAATAATTTTTATGCATGATTTAAGTCACTAATAAGCGTTTTCCCTCCTTTTATTGCGATTTAAAAAAACAAATGAATGGATGGTAAATGATACGCAAGTCCCTCTGCTCTTTCTAGATAATCATATTCAAAATTGTAACTATCATGCCAAGAACAACATACATGAGATGCTCACAGTCACTAGGACTGTAATATACATGCTTATTTGAAAACATAACTATGGAACTTAGCCAGATTAGTCACTCGATTCAGTATGTAAACCTCCTTATGTTATTTACAAGTTGAAGAAAAGTAAAATTTAACCCCATTAGTTTCAGACAGACAATAAATTTAAGATTAACCACAAAATGGACCAGGACAATAATTAACAATATAGAATCATTTTGTTTTCGTTTCCTAAACAAGAAAGAACTACGTGAGAAATATTGATCATATGCATCATAGGCAAACTCACAGATATCTTATTGTTGATGAGTAGGGGAGGGAAGGTAGTCACAAAGAGTTGAAATTAAGAAACCGGAAGTACCTTAACTATATTTTGTAATGTTTTGTCTTCAAGTTCAAATTTCACAGCAATGGAAGACAAAAAATTAAGAGGGGTAGCGAACAAATGATGTGAAGAGGATCCTAATATCGGAATGCTGCTAGAGGAGAATGCAAATCGGGAAAGCAAGAAGACAATTTTATCGAGCTTGACTTACGTGTCAACTTTGCTTTTGACTCAATGAATTCTTATGCATGTGATGAAATCTTATTATCTACCAATGATTTGTCAAACTAAATTGTCAAATAACTTAACTCTGGCAAAATCACCTGTTGTTAACAAATTCCATGTTTTAAATAAAATAGAAAATCTATCAGGAAATGAAAATTCTCATTTTTAATAAAATCAATTTAAAATTTTTCATAATTTTATCAGGAGTTGATGTAACAGAAAAAAAAAATTGAAGCATAGATTAGCAAGTAAAAATGCCTACCCTGTTTTACAATTATGAAAAGTACCCAATTTTTTTCTCTTTTAACTCGTCAAAAGTGAAAGTCAATTTATATAAAAATAAAATAAAATGAATGCCCCATTCATTGAACATTGACATTGTAGAACTGAAAAGAAAAAGTGGAATGCATCGATGACATTCACGAGGGAAAAAAAATCCGTAAATTTATTAAATAAGTTTGATATGTGATTAACTTAAATTGATGATCAATTTAGGAGAAATATTTATGATTCTTATAAATTATTTTAATTAAATTAAAGACAAATTATTATTTAAAAACTTTAAATAAATAATTATTTAAATATGCTCAATATATAAAAAGCAGAATTAATGGGGAGAGAAAGGTTGACAAGAGAAGAGATTGAATTGCACATGTTCGGAATAATTTGATCAAAACAAAAAAAAATTGTTACTTACCACTTTTAAAATTAAATTTAAATAATTTTTAATTAAAAATATATTTATTATATTAAAGATATAATAAAACTTTTAAATAAATTAAAATATAATATTTTTTAAAAGATTTTATTATTGTAAGTTACTTAAACTTAGCTCTAGTAACTGAAGTTAATATTTTTTTTAATTTAATAACTTAATCCAGTTTTTAAAAAAATATTAATATCATTGTCAAAATTAATTTTAAATATTCTTAAAAAAATATTAAATATATTTATGTACTAAAAATTTAAAAATATAATAAATAAATTTTTAATAAAATTATTATTATCAACTTTAAAAACTTATTTTAATAAAAATTATGAAAAAAATCATAAATATCTCTTAAATATATAATTCCAATTAAAGTATATTTATTAAGAGAAAAAATACTTTTCAACTTTTATAAAAATAAAAAGACATATAAAATTTAATTATTTTAATTTAGGTTAGTTTATTTTTATTTTTATTTTTATTTTTTTTCTCAACAAAAGGCTTAAAAGTCCAAAACAAACAACAACCTAGGCAAGCATCCTAAGATAGTTTAATTTAAAAAATATAATTTAATAAATTGAAATAATAGAAATTAAGTTTGATTAATTTGGATGAGTTTGACAAGTTGTATAAAAGTATAATGATTTAATTAATTTGATTTAATTCGTCAAATCACCTCAATTTAATAAACACCCCAGGCTGTGGACAAAAAATAAATTTTGATGCAGTGTAAATGCATAACATTTTATATTATTAATATTTTTCCGTTCATTCCATAATTGTTATCAAATTAAAATAAAAATTTAAAATATATTTAAAAAATTAATTTAATAGGTTTAAATAAGTAAATATTTTAATTATTAATAAAAAAATGTTTTATTATGTCAAATGAGACTAAATTTAAGATATAAAATTTTAAAAGTTAAAAAATAATAAATTATTATTTAAGATAAATCTTAAAAATAATTTTATTTAAAAACTAGGGGAAGAAAGATCAATGCAATGGTATTTATATTGAGATGGTGAAAAATACACTATCAAAATTTATAACAATAAATATATTATTAAATAAATTTTTATTCGATAATTTTATTTAAATCAATCATAGAATCAAAAACTTCTATGTTATAAATTATATCTGCAAAATTATATATTGATTTATATTTATTTATATTTTATTCATGAAATAAAAAACTAGCATAATTTATTATCTTAATTTTAAATTTAAATCTCAATTAATACAGCTATTTTAAATGTTCGGAAGAAAAACTTTATGGCCTGTGATAATTTTACTAAGTTTAAACAAGATTACTTTTAATAAAAGATACTTATGATATAAAAAAATTTAAATAAAAATAATGAATATTTGATAATCACTTAAGTAACTAACATCAATATGATTTGATAACACGTCAAAATTAAATATAAAAGAATGAAATTATTTTATTGTTGTCACACAACTTTTCGGGTTCACTGTTTAGAATAACCATTGCAGTGACATATTGCCTGTGAAAAACTCACAAAAAGTAACAAAGCCATGGAGTAAGCGAATAGTGATAGATAAACACTGTGATTGGGAGATTTTTTAGGGTTGATGGGTGTAACTATCAATACCCACCCTTCTTTATATTCTCACCGTGAATTATGCTCCACTGTCTATAACTTCTTCGGAGTAAAAAGTTAGTCTCTCACTTATCAGGTAAAAGATACCCTGAAAAACCTTTGAAATCTAATTAATTTTAAAAGTTTAATAACCGTGAATTAAGATTCTTATTCTTGGCCTTAGCACCGGTGCAATTCTGTAGAAAATGAGCACCGTAATAATTAATTAAAACATGAATAATACCAAATCTAAGATTTTCACTTATACACACTCATTTCTTCAATAAATAAACGATTCAAATGAACAGAAAATTATAGGTAATTATATCATGTTCTCTCTCGTTTTGTTTATTTTATTTAAAAAAAAATAGACACACTAACCCAATAGACTCTGTTCAATTCCTTTTAAGAATAAACATGCTTCACTGAGATGTTGAGAACTATGTACGTATTAAATGTGACAAATGCTTGTAATGTTTCCTTGCTTTAAATTATTGTTACACAGGAGAAGTCACTGAACTTTCATAAACCTAATTGTTTTTATATAAATCCAAAGCACAAGAAAAACGTAGAAAACAATGCAATCACCTTGCAGAAAACGTATTTTAAACACACGTTACTTTCAAGGCAAGGCAACTAACTTCCACCTCTCTTGAACAGTGCACATTCCAAGTTTTAAATAAAAAATACATTGAAAATTATAATCGTAGTTCTGCCTGAATGTTTTCAGAGGTTGATGGGCGAGTAAATTTAACCCATTCTTCCTCTTTCATGGAAAATCTAGAGAAAAAGGATGCAACTCCTACAAGGAGACTCAACTTCCAGTACAATGGCAGTGAACTATACGACTCGTTTGAGTTCAGACAGATGACTTTCCAACTCGACGAGGCCATTCAAACCTCTAAAGTTTCTTCACCAACTTATAAAGAGATGACCCACAAGCTTAACAAGGCCATTAAGGGCTCTAATGCCTCATCGCCAGCATTAGTCTTTCACCTAAATTCCCCCCTTTATCGACGCCACCTGAACCGTATCTACAGACAAAGTACAAAGACACCGAGGAGAATTACAAGTCCACAAGTATCAGATAAACGAGCATGCGAAAGAGGAGCAAAAGAAAAAGGTTTTGTAACACGTCTGTGGTTGAAGGTTAAAAGGGGTTTGCTCGGGAAGAAGCATGAAAGCGATGAGGGGAGGAACAGACCCTCAAAAGCATATTGAAGTCTTCCTATAGAGTCAAGATTATGTAAAGGTAATGCTACAAAAAAGCTCAAGTCAAAGAATTTTTGGATTCACGGTCTTAAGATCAAGTAAAATAAGGCAATATTTCACAGATCCATAGTAAACATTCCTTCTAAGTCACAATCTTATTTACTATATTGTTCAATAAAATCTATGACAGCTTGTAATCTCTTCCTTTAATGGGATCCGGAAAATAATAATTTTTTCCTCACATGGTAGTCCATAAAATAATGGCCATGCCAAACGTAAGCAATTGCCGCATGGGGCATAATACATATAACTGCTGTGTGTTCAAACTTCAAACACGAAAGGAATTTGACAAAATCAACTCACAAGCTATTTGCTTTCATTCTTTCTTTTTATGTATAAGTTTCCATAATATACATGCCTGCTTCAGAAGCAGCAGGAAGTTTTAGACAAGCTTTAAAATGGAAAAGTAATACACACAGTGGAAAAAAAATCTCAAAACAACTACTACAAAATCTCTAATCACAGGGTGGAAAGGAGAAAATTTCTAGGACATCCTCAGCGCCATTTCATGTAGAAGAGCTCGCTTCTGGGAAGCATTTATTACATTATTTGTTTCAGCATTCTCAAGCACATCAGTGATTATTGCAGCTGCATGTCCAAGAGGTTCCTCAGCCGCCCTTTTCAACATGAAAGCCTGAACAACCACAATAAAGGAGAATAAACCTAACAGTTGTTGATGCGAGTTTTGCTAAGTTGTTCGAACAGTTTAGAAGACAATACCACAAGGGCATCCGAAAATCGGAAACATTTAATTAAAATGAGACAAAACCATATTCTATCATTAAATTTTTCTTTGTAGCATCCATCATTGAGAATTTCAGGCGGCAAAGGTCATTTTCCTTCTGAAAATTAAAAATGGGTTACCAGATCCCAGCCAGTTTGTACATGATTACAGAACATGTTGAAATTCAGTTATACATAACAGTGTAAGGATATTAAACTGCAATGCAAGTGATATAGTTAAAACAAAGGGGGTGACGCTGCCTGTAATGCACAGTGGAGGAGTTTTAGAATGATAACCTGGCCATGGTGGGTTATGGAAATAGTGCAGGGTTGCTGAAACCAAGGCTCTCCATCAATCTGAACAGGAAACATAGCAAACAATTGTATCTTAATTGACTGTCCTTGTGCAAGTCTTCGAGCTCGAGAAAGCCCAACCTATTTTGACAAAAACATTGTCAGATGATTTAAACATCAATGATTCCATAGTTCAGTTTCAAATAACTCCCTAAAGCTTAATCTAGACAAATAAAACATGTCTTATTCTTAATCCTAGCCCAAAGCATGTACTTCTAAAATCAGAGAGTATAAATCAAAAGTAACAGATCCCACAGAAACACAACTGGGATGCAGTTCAAATCCATGCAGAATATATTTAAAATTTCAAGGAAAAAAGTGGTCAGCAGCATATGCTTTGAATCAATGCCAAATCTCAAGTTGCCATTTAGCTACAGCATGATGCAAAGACTAAAGTAGCATGTTACTAGTAAAGGGATTGAGGATTCATTTTACCTGAAGCTTCCCAAGGTGCCATGTTCCAGATATGCTCACAACTTCAAGTACCTTATCATGCATAGATTGTGGATCAAAATTATCATAATTTTCATCCTCATTTTGCCACAAATCTACACCCCCCATGTAGCTTCCAATATTTGCAACAAGCACACCTTCCGCATCCTGAATTAATTGAAAACCAATTCAGCAATGGGGCCTTCTTATTCTCTGTGGGGTCGGTGTGGGGTCGGTTGCGGTGTAAAAAAAACTAAAAAAGGAGGCTCTGATACAAAAATTTGAGTAAACTTAAGTTTCCCCTCTCTGTCCAACACCTATAAATAAACCCTCTGATTGAATTTTCACAAGACAAATGGCCCCTTCCATCAACTATTTGTCATAAAAGTTTACCCCATGCCAACATAAGAAAAGACATTTGAAACATAATGTCAAAATTACGCCTGCGGTTACTAACTAATATGCTAGAAATTGAGGAGGTAAAAGTGTAGGTGATATAATTAGAGTTGTTCATTCAAATTTTTTAAAAAAATCAATAATTAATAATTTGAGCAACTATACCAGAAAGAATAATGTGAACCAAATAAAGGTTATTAATCCTTAGCTGACTCACCTCAGGGACCTCAATTTCAACTCCATCCACCTCAACTCGAATCTGCCAAGGTAAATCAGCAAATGTCCTGTCCATAATACTTTTAGCGCCTTCTCTTGCATATAGAACTTTATTCATAAACTGCATTCGTTATGAGTAATTTCAGCATTTAATCTAAGTGTCACTACATAAAATTTTTTTAAGCATTGTAACATAACCGTGAGACAATGCAGCAAGTGTAATATTGAAAGTTGAAACCTCTACTTCAAGGTTCAAACATCAAACTGACAAAAGTCAAGATCACCAGTTCATGTAAATATGTCAGATATTATTTAAAGTGTGAATATAATAAAACTTAAAGAAAAAACCATTCATCAAACAGAAGAATGTCAAATGGATCAATATCATCGATCAACAAGCTCAACAAAATGTCACTAGATCCACCCAATATAGCAATTAGCAACGACATAATCTCAGCTTGCTTATGAGAGTTACCTTAGAATAGTCCAAGATTCATGTATAACGATGTAACAGTTTCATTGGCAGTAATTTACAGAACAAGTCACTCAGTAACAAATCAGTGGGACACATCATACTATCAATAATTATGCTGATTTTTAATTACTATCACAGAAAAAGAATGTGTCAATCGCTTCCTTCAAATCTATTGAACAGAATAATGATAATAACCAACACAGATACTGAAACTCAAAAATAGTGTCATCAAATACAAGTTTTTTCTGTTTAACAGCATATATCTTTCCCAATATTTCCCCAGGAACAGCATAAAGTCTTAATCCAAGAGTTTTTTGACTTTTTGACCAAAAAAATACATTTTTTAAAACTATTCATTAAAAAAATGTACAAACAAGCCATTTTACTTGTCTAGGGTGATTTTGGCCACATACATAATATGTATTGCTCGTACCAGAGGTGACACTAATTAAAAAATTAAATTAACTACTGCATACACTGTAACCAGTACTCTCTTGTTCAGACAAGTACACATAAGAAGAGTATTGCCCGATAAGTGAGCAATAATAAGAGGGGGGAAAATCTGCACAGAAAAATGATTATCTAATCTATCTTTGCAAGATTTAAGGGTCCTGTGCTCTGACCAGTTTAACATATGAACTCGAGAGGTAGGAGATCATGGTGGAGAAAATCCTTCAGGCCTAATCTATCTTTGTGGGCAATTTTTTCCTCTCTTAGTATCACCCACTTAACAACCGATACTCTTCTCACGTGTAGAAGTATCCAAATGAGAGAGTATCATTCACTATGTACATAATTCTGAATTTTATATATATTTTTTAATCAGTCTCACTCCTAACATGGATAATACACATTGCATATGTGGCCAAAATTACTCCAAATAAGCAAATTGTTTCGTTTGTAAACTTTCTTAGTGAAGAGTTTTGAAAAAATGTATTAAAACCCGTCTTTAATGTTATGCTAAAACTAATGTAATGTAATTAAAGTTTCATTCTAAAAGCAGAAGCAATCTTATACCACATACTCATCCAACAAAATGCAATAATAATAATAATCTTATAGCACACAAGTAGCCTCCTATTTTAATAAACTTTCCATCTTTCTTAAATTGAAGCTTCAAAATGCCAAACAATTCAAAATTCAATTCCAATTATCAAATACCTGGTTATAAAACTTTTCCGGATTTTCTTCCCGCAGATTATGAATGTCCAAAGCAACCTTTGCATCACAACCAATTCCTAAAACCACATATTTGTTAGATTCAAAACAGAACTATAAAAATGATGCAAGAATTGCATATGTTTGGGAAAGCATAAATATGAGATTTTTTTATTTTTTTTCAAAAGCTCTCTCAAGAAGATGTAAAAAAAATCATTTTCCTAAAACAAGCTTAATCCAAATGCACAGTCATTGCTTGACAATTAGCAGATAATGTAATCTAACAAAAAGCAGGTGGTACACAACTAATATTTACAATAAAAGGCTGACCGAAGAACCGAAGAATATCTACTAATTAAAATTCAATTAAAACCATGAGGATGCAGACAGATTTGTGCCTGAGTTGAATACCCAAATTCATATATGTTAAACACTTAAACCTCACTTCAGCTATCCAAACAATGTGAATAGAACCAGACTTGAATGGATGAAATCAATACAACAAAATCAACCTTCCAATTAGCTTCAACCAGATTGACAGTCAAACCAGTACTAGAGTACCAGACCGTGACATCAACCTTCAGACTCCAAAAGGCATCTTTCTCTCCATCTATAAACCTTATCCCCACCCAAAAGGAAACAAGCTACCTATTAAAGTTTAGTGAACTGACTTTACACATGCCTCAAACCCACACATTTTAATGTAACTAACAGTAACCATGAGAAACGTGTGTTCACATACCAAGATAATTATTCATAAACTTCGGCGGTTGGAGCTGTTGCTGTCCTTGTGGATTACTAATTGTTACCTTCCACCGGTCAAGAACAGTAACAGCAGCATGTTCTATGTGATGCAGAAATGTGCTAAGACCACCTTGCCTCTCCACTGGACCCAAGCCACCTCCCCAAGAGAGAACTCTAGCAAGATCATTTCCCGTACCAGCAGGAAGAATAGCAACTGGGGGAGGGGAAACAAAATTTTGCTTGTCTATTGCATTCAGAACCCAACCAACAGTACCATCTCCCCCACATACAAGAACTCTGAAATGAGGCACCTTTCTAAACAAATAAAGTCCCATCTCTGGCCCCTGTGTTGAGCTCAATTCAAACACCTAAACAAAACAAAGAAAGGTTTGGTAATCACATTGTAAGAGAGTATCTAGTATCTACAACGACCAAGAGAACTATTTTAGCAATTTTTAGGAACCTTTTATGTATACCACTACAAGATAGTATCTACTTTGAAATCTTGAAGTGTTTAGGTAATTTTGTATAAAGAAATGAGTGTTTGATGAATAGTAATGGCTTGTTGGTTAACTCAGCCCCAAAGCAAAAACACTTGAGGAAAGGGTACAAGCAATGCTGTCAAGGTGCAAACATTGCAGTGAAAAATTGGAAGCTACAACAAATACTCCAATGATAACCAGATATTATAAAATGTCCCAGTAACAAACCTGAACAGGATTTAAAAGAATATTCAGACGCGTTCTAAGTGACTCTCCACGCTGGGCACCACTCTTCTTGTTTAAAAAAACTAACAATGGTCTAGCATCTGGAGGCAAATCAATCAACTCATATTTCTGCTTCACTCCTAACATGTGGGACTCATCCTTCTGATTGATTGATGAATTGCGTCTAAGACTGGGTTTACTATCCATCTTATTATCTACTTCACTATCTTGATGCCGAACCTCCTGGCTCAAGCTATTTTTTTCATCCACTTCATGATGGCCGTTAACTATTTGATGGGAATCACCAGTGCTTTCTATGGACATTTCACCAATACTCTCACTATTCCCAGATTCAGCAGATAGTTCACTCCCATGCTTGTACTTTTTGCTCTGGTTCCTAATACTTGCTCGAACCGAAGATGCTATCTCATTTGCCCCATGAGTAATTGAGCTCAAAAATCCACCTGGCATGTTCCTGTTAAATTCCTTCACATACAGCGGTGATAGTATCAATCTTTTAAATGGGCCCAAATCGCAAATATCACCTGTTTCATTAGACATTGCACTATGACAATCAACATGTACTAAACGCTGGCACCACAAGCAAGACCATATAGGGGAACCACTGAGGAATGTCCCACTACATGGCTCTTCACAGTAACTACAGAGAGTAATTTCATCAGGTTGGTCAGCTACATCTGTCCAACGTACAGCCCATTGGTGCATGACATGCTCATATCCAATCATAGAAACACACTTACAGTCCTTGTGGGCACTAGAAGAACAAATTAGATGAGCTACTGCACCACAAATACAACAACGGTGGATGAAACCTTCTGAAGCAACTATAGGCCCAAGAGTTTGAGAGGGTGACATGGACTTAAAGCATACACAGCAGTTTAAATTCTTTGCTCGGGATACAGATTCTAAAATCCAAGTATGCGGGGCCACTGGTACTTTGTGCCTCGCCTTTGGATTTTTCTTAGATCTAGCTATGGCTTTCATCCAACTTAGATTGATGTTTCTCCTCCATTGAAAGGCCGTGTAGGCTATGGTCAAAATTCCAACAAGGGCAGCCACAAAACAAGATATAATGAAAAGCATATCAGTTGGATTCTTGGTATTCCAACTGTGAAGTAACAACTCGAAATCTCTGTCGTCATCCATTCCTCAACTATATAAACTCTAAAAGATACAACTGTATTGGTAGTATATCTTGCTTGGTTGTTGTGTTATAAGTGTGTATAAATTCCTAACTAAGACCACAAACCTCAGTGTGTATAAACAACATCATGACATCACACCTCATATGTCTCATTCAAACCAAATTCATATAGGCAACAACAAGCTGTGTAATACATAAACACTCAATCTTGCTTCTCTCAAAGAGCATATTGAACAAGAAAGCCATTCCTCATCCCTAGTTTTTCTCAACAGCATCTTTTGTTAATCCCTTTTTGTTAACTTCAAACTTCCAAGCCCCAGCAAGGGTATGAACGACAAGCACGCAGAATATCTGCACCAAAAAAAAAACTAAGAATTTGAAAAAAAAGGGGGAGCAAAACAATTTTCCAACGTATTGTTGCAACTGTGCGTGCTGTTGATCTTCGTCTAGTATTAAAATAAATTAAAAAAAAAAAAAGTAAGTCATATACTTAAAACTGAAATGCCACATTTTGAAAAACACAGTTCATAGAACAGAGAAAGCGCCAACCTCAGTTTCTCAGAAACCAATCAAACACGTTACTCGTCCTCAATTACCTATAGCGTCAATTAAAAATAAAATAAAATATCAAATAATTCAGAATGATCATTTATTATTTTGACATGAACGAAACTAGCTTACAGTGGCAGTTGCGCCTGCGAGATCAAGATCAACCTAATGGGTTAAAACAAACCCTAGTTGATCGACAGAGAAAGTTAGAGTTGAAGGTGAAGCGATGAAAAGAAAATTGGAGAAAGATACAATCTATGCAAGCAAATCCCACAACAGAGCATAGCTTTTTCTTAATACATAAGAAAGGAAAATATTTATAGAAAAAACTGAAACAAAATTAAATCATTTTTTTTTTAAATGTTAATCGGCGTTTTATAATTCTTTAGTCAATGTTCTCTTTTTTTACGTTTAAAAAGACAGTGATTAAAGAGTTGAAAAATTACAAAATTATTATGAATTTTGTTAACTTCAAGTTTTAATTAAATTAAAGCATTCAAAAATTAAAAAATTTATAAAAATATATTCATTATTTTAAAATTCTAAAAAATATAATAAATATTTTTAATAAAATTTCACTGTATTAATTATTTATCTTTACAATTTTTAATTATTATTAGTAATTTCATCGTTTAAGCTGAACAAGATTGCAGGTGCACAAATTTTTATATTTTAAAATAATATACAGTTTTCATTAATTTTTTATTTAAAATTTTTGCGATCACTAATTAAGAATATATTTTTTTTGGGTGCTGTTATTATTTTTAAAAATGATTTTGTAACTTGTTTGCTTGCGGGAAGATTCCGAAGATGTGACCTGAAGAAAGAATCTGGACACGAAATGGATTCTTGAGAGAGGAGTTTCCCGTATGAATAAAAACGAAACATAAAAGAGCTTTTTTAAAGTGATATTTGAAATTTTAATAAAGCAAAAATAAATAAAATATTCTTATTTATTTTGTTTAGAAAGATATTCAGTTGAAGAAAAAAATGAAAAAAAATTTAAAACTAATATGGTGGCACACTTTTCTCCTCCTCTGAATTAAGCCACGTGTCATGGAAGAAAATGATTAATTTATGGAGGTTCGTCGGCAATACGATGCTTCGTTGTCGTTTAAAAGAAAGGGAAGACGCGCGTTCAACACGTCGCCTGAATCTTGACGTTTTGAAAAGTATGGAAATGGAATGCATCCTTTCAGGACATAACCTATTTTAAATTCAAGAAATATATTATATATTGAAAATATTTTATTTATTATAAATTTAAATTTATCAAACATTGAAGTTAAATTGGCTATAGCTAAAACTTTTCTCTAAATATATAAATAAAATATAAATAATATTTTATTTTAATTCCTATCATTGATAAATGTTAATAACACTTTTAAGAAAATATTCACATTGTAAGTTAAGTGTTAACTTGTTAACTTAAATATTAAATAGACTAAAACTGAAAGTTGGACAATAAATATCAACATAAATTTGAATAAAAAAGAGAGACATGATAAGTTTAAATTTTATAAAAACTGAACTTAAACATAAATTTTAATAATTTTTTTTTAAGATCACCTCAAACCAGTCAATTGAACTTAATAAATAAAAGATTGGACATGTAATCCATTCATAATCAAATCAAACATATAATTAAATTGGCCTAATTTAATACTAATTTAGCTTCTTATAAGAGGTGAGACATTGTTTATAGTGATGTTAAACTTTGCTTGAACCAATTAAACTGAGAATTGGACATATAACTTATTTGAGTTCACAATCAAATCGAATATGCAATTAAATTAATCTAACTTAAAAAAATTAACTTAGATGATAACTGATAACTCAATCATTAAAACATTTCACTTGGTTGGAGTAGCCTTAAGAGAAATGGTAGTATAGGAATAAAAAACCAAACATACATAGTGAGTACAAGAGAAATGCACATAACCACTAAACTATGCTAATTTCACTTAGTACATGTACAGCATTTAATAATTTATTATACACTCATTTTATACGTTTAATATATTGACTAAGTATTTAAATTAAGTCAATAATTAATTTAAATTTGACAACATTGATCATTTAATGTATTAAAATTATTTTTAGCATACAAAATAATAATTTTTATTAATATTGGTTAATTATAAAAGTTAATTTAAAATGAATTTAATTTTATTACACTTGTGTATAAATTCTTATACCGCAACTATTATAAAAATTAATAATTTTTTATTAATATATTAATTTATGACTAAAAATAATATAAAATATTTATATTTAAATTAAATTTATTTAAAATATATTTAGACAAATCATATTCTAAAAACAATATGAAGATAAAAAAAATTAAAAGAAAGTTATAAGGTTAAACCTTATTTTGGATATTATAACCTTTAAAATATTAAAAATGGTTATATTAGTTTTTTCATTTTTATATTTATCTAGCAGTTTAGTCGTGATACTTATCTAATAGATAATAAAAGAACAGTAACATATCACATTAAATAATGATAAAAAATAACTTAAAAATTACAACATTTCATATACATAAAAAGTTATGCTCTAATTACTAAAATATTATTCTTCCTTTTCTATCATCTTTATACCTTTAGTTAGATTTCTTCTACTTGTAAAATTCTCAGCATTTTAACAAGGGTAGTATTACAATTCTTTAGTACTTTTTATCATTTACATTGTTTTTAACTCAAATAAATTTTTAATACTAAAAATATTATTAGATTGGAGTAGGATGAAGCTGGAAAATCAACTTAGATAAGGAATCTCTTTGTTTGGAAACCTAAATGGCGATATCATATTCCTCCTACAAGAGAGTGCTGAGAGGCTCTAAGTTTGTTTACTATTGACTCTTTAGTATATCATCATAGCCAATTAAATATTTTGTTTAATTTTATTTTCATGGAAACAACACATTTCAAATTTGGATTTTTTTTAATGCCAATAATTACTATTAGTGAACGAGTCTTAGGAGTTAGGAAAAAAATAAAGGTTATTTAATGAGAGAAAAAGGAAAAGTTATAATAATTACTAGTCACGTTTATTTATTTAAACACATAAAATTAAGTACAAGTTACCTTTGACATGTGTGACTGTATCAGTGTCTGAGTATAGAAATAAAAATGTGACAGATATAAAAATAAAAAACTAACGGATCATAGGGACTAAATTGTTGGATGGGGAGGAAAAGGAGGGTTTAATAAAAAGTAAGTTTCAGGCTTAGGAAGAAAGCTAATTTAGTGAAATAGATATAAAGGGACTTCAGTGCATGCAGTCGTACAACGGCAAAGCTGAACTCACAGCGATGCTCAACTCAACAATGGAAACCCTAGACTCAGCTCCATCAACTCCTTCTAGAACCACCGATTCGAAGCCTCAAGCTCCATCACCATTGCCGCCATCGGTGCTCAGGCTATGGAGGCAAGCCGCGCAACGGAACCTGAGGAACCGCTGGGCACAATTCGCATCGTGCAGGGATCGATGGTCCTCTGTTTCTTCCGCCGGAAGATCTCACGCAACCGCTCTCGTCAATTCTCATCTTTCTCAAAGGTAGTAATTCGTCGAGTTCCATGTTTTTTTTCTTTTTCCTGTCGCCGGTTTCGTATTCAAAACCAAAGACGAATGAACGAAGTCAACCGCGTTGATTTGGATGATCGATTCAATTATTCTCCTATGGGATTTGTCGTGTGTTTGTTTCCGTTAAAGCATTCGTAATATTTTTCTCAAGTTTTTTATAGTGTTTGGCGTACAAGGTGCTTGTGGTTATGCTGTTGTTGTCTCGGAATTGATGTAGGTACATGCCTAATACAGAGCTAGGTGTTTTGAGCGATATGCCTGACATAAGAAAGAAAGCTTGTTTGAAACTATTTAAGCGGCAGGTATTGTTGATTTTTATTTTGTTTGTCTTTGTCCTTCAACTTTTGCAGATGTTGATCAATGCATGTTTTTTAATTTAGTATCGATTTAAGTGAAATTTAGCATCCCGTCGACTTTGTTTGTATATGGCTTACTTGGAGGGATAAAAAAATGTACTATAATGAATGCCAGGAGATTGGTTGTAAGTATACTGTATTTTTGCATCTGATGAAGATGGCAACCGTGGGCTTGATGGCTTATAGCTGGTAGCATATGAACGTTTTTCAATAAATTATCATTAGTTATTCTAACATGCTCTTTTTTTGAAAGATTTTTGTAATTCTGTTGTTCGTGGTTTATAAGAAATAATTCCCATTTTGTTTTTGGGAAATTTGTCAAGGGTGGTATTTTCTTATTTGTTTATAAATTTGTGTTCATTGAATCTAAATCAATACATAGGTACATATTGCAGAAAAATTATCCCTTTACTTCCCCATAACTTCCAAATGGATTGTTTTTTCACATGCCATAACAATAATTAGTTTAGATGGAGCTTTGTATGATTTTATGTAAGTCATATTTAGTCTATTTTAATATGAATTTTGGCATAATATGTAAGTAAATTGGTTGTGGCTTCTCTACATGATTAAATTCTTGTGTTTAGAGAAAGCTAGGCATCAACATTTATATTTCTGCTCTCATTTGCATTAGTGATTGATGTGCTGAATCCTATGCCCTCAGGTCCATTTCCCTTGTTTATATATTATTCAACTCTTTGATGTTCTCTGAATTAAAATTAATTTGAATTAAGAGTGAATTGGCTCAAATTGTTTGTTCCATTGCCTCGGTTTTGCTATGGCCTCACTTAATTGGGCTGTTGGGCATAGGTAAGAACACATGTACGACTTTTTAGGATCCTGCAGCTCAAAAGGCTTTTACGTGTTATTTTATCGATATGTGATTGTATTACCTACATTCAAGCATGTTTGTCCATTATTCTCTTCTTCTACCTCTTTTTCAAATTCAAGTTGGTGTGGTTTAAGATGATTAAGAAAATTCTAGGGAATTTTCTGATCTTGCATGGAAGAGGACACCATGTTGGTCATTGATTGATTTTCTATAGGTCCAGGAAGGAAGGGATTGGGTTCTTGGTCCAAAACATTCATTGGGCTGAAAATGGCTATGGTGTTTCCCTCCAGGAACTGCTTAGTTATGGTATGAGGTAATTCAGATTTCAGAATTTTGACTAGAATGGCTGGAACGATAACATGGTGATTGTTACTACCCATGCAATGCATGAATGCAAATTCCTGAAAGTTTATTTCTTAGGGATACAGTCCTTCAGACACCAGTTTCTTTGAGTTAAGGAGAAGTTTCTTAGGTTTTCAAGGATATTTGTGTCGGAAATTTTGCTACGTTGTAGGCTTTCCTGCTTCTGTAGATGGTTTTTCTATCTGTAACTTCAATTCCATGAAGGGTTTAGTTTTTCTGAATATAACAATAGAAAGTGACGACTTAGGATCATCTCTGCTTGCACAGAAAAACACAGAATAAAAAATCCAAATTATTTTCATATCTCTCTTCAGGTGGATCCCTTATCCACCCTTTAGTTCTGTTATTCTCTTCTCTCTTTAATACAAATTATTCTTTTTATTGGAAATGATAAACCTTAAAGTTATATCCATCATTTTAATAATTACTGATGTTGTTATTGTGCCTGTTTCAGGAACTTCACAGGAGAAAATTATTGTTGTCTTATAAGGACATGGTATGTTATATTCTTGTTTTATTTCAAATTTGAAGGCATTGATTTATTTGGTCTTGCAAAGTAATGTAATGAGCATACAACATGCATGTATTTAATTGCTTAAGGTGCTTGCTCATCATAAAACTTGTAAGTGTTGTTGATGCCATATAATGTTATTTTCAATGATTTCCATTTTTTTTTCTACAAAGAGGGAAAACATATGCACTCGCACACACACAAAGACAAACAAATTCTAGTGCCCCTGAACAACTATTTCATGGAAAATGGAAATTTGCAATAAAAAAAGAAGTATTTCTGCAAAATATATTTGTCTTATTCTTGCAGTTATCAGAGGCAATTGTTTATTTCTTGATAGCATGTATATTTATGTATTTGTTTTAATTTTGATGTAACTTCAGGTGGGCGTTGTAAGTGACATGATCAATGTTATCAGATCGATGAGGTGTTTTTTCAAAGGATCAAACAATAGTCCATTGTTACAGTTTTCTTGTAACTCTGAAGACCAGAGTGACTTTGGAGATGGTGGTGGAATTCCAGTATTTGCGTTTTTTTCAATCACTTCACATGGTATGACAATTGTTGCTAATTAACATGTTTCATCATTCACCTATACAATTACCCAGTTCTTTAGATGATTTGCTAGCTATCCTTTTGTTTTTCTCCTCATTTTCTTAAGTTTTCTTAAGCATATATTTTCACTTAATGATGAAGTGACATTATCAAGCTATTTTTTGCATTATAGAAATTTTTAATCTTTTAGAAGCACTATGTTTATATAGCTACATACCACATTGGGTTTATGGGAAAGTTTCATCAGTCACCTTGTTGCCCGTCAAGTTAAGTAAAGCTTGTGAATGATCCGTGTTTGCTTGTCTTCCTGAAAGTATTCTCAGGTCCTTAAATGTACTATTCATTGTTAGGCAATTATTGAAGGTTTAAGTTTTGGCTAACCCACATATTATAGAATTTTGAAATTGTTTTTGGAGAAGCATAAATGACTGAGAAAACACTTGAAATCATGTTAATACTGAGAAAATAATATTTAATGATAATGAAGTCTCTTGCACCTGGAAATTGATGTCTATTGGGAGGGGGGGGGAGGTAACAACAGTGCACGGACATATTATTTTCATGTAAATTATGGTAAAATTACAAGTTTAATTCTCAGAGAAATTCGCTGAGGAGCTGCTTCAGATGTTTAGCTTGGAATTATGTTTGAAGGTGAATTGCAATTTCTGCAATTGTTCCTTTTTTTTTAAATAATATTTGATTCCTGACTTCCTTCTTACTGGGGAAGTTATTTCAAATGGTCAGCGGTTGCTTGTTCTTGAATTTTTGTCCATTGGTCGTGACACTTCACAAGTAAACCAGTTGTATTGGTCAGCTCAGCTTTATGCTGATGAATTCAAAGATTTGAGAAACTGCAATCTGTACTGTGAGGCGACTCATGGGCCAGTTTCACCAAGATTGAGGGATGGGAAATCTAACATGGTTGCTTTAAGATTTGACAACCAACCCAATCCTGAGGTTTTACAGGTGTTGTATTCAATCCACATATGCTCTTGAATTCATTGTGAAGTGTTTATATTTGAGGTTTAAAATACAAGATTGACATGTTAGCTATAAATATATTCTACATCACAGGTTTATTTAACAACATGGCTTGCAGAGGTGAATATAGACACTTTAAGGTAGGATTGCTTTGAAATTCACAATTTAAATTTATGTTAGTGTATATCAGTGTCTAAAATGCATCCTCATCTCGTTCCACCCTTTCTTTAATCACAGAGTAAACGAGATATTTGCCGTTGCTGGGGAAGAAATGCATGCTAACATATGTTAAAGCCACTGTCATCACGAGTGAAGTTATCATCAGTACTGAATGGTGGGCATGTTAGTAACAATGAGGGTAGAGATCACCAAACAGTCTTTCTGTGATTACACTGTCAAGCTTGTCTATCCGAATATAGGAGTAGTAACTGGTAAGAGGTGTTCCTCGCTTGGTGCTGTAGTAAAAAATGATGACCAAGTCATGTAGACGAGTAGTTTTAGTCTCATAACAGTAGCAAATTGTGGACAGAGGGCAACCAGGATCTTCCATGTGCGGATGAAATATGGTCAAAGGATCACTTTGCAAGAAGGGTGTCTGCGTGTATATACATAATAATATAGACAATTTGCAAATACGTGGGAGGTACTAAACCATTTTTTTCCGGTTTAAACATTTAGAAGTCTATACAATTCTTTTAAAAGAATCACTGTTTGATCGACCATCGGTGACTACTTTCATTGTCAAATTGGAATGAGCCATTAGACGACAATCTGTGAGGTCCAAAAGCTGTTACTAAAGAAATTGTTGTAAATAAAACTGGCCAAAAATTAAATTGCTTTATATGATCGATGTCGATTTAATTCTATATCAAAGACTTAAAAATGAGTCCACCACAGATATTAGATTGTTGGTTAATTATGTTTTAAAGTTATTGACAAAAATATTTATTTATTGTACTTCAGATGTAAAATGAAAACAAGAGGCCAGGTTTTATGGTTTTATAGACGTTGCTTTCTTCAAGATACCATCTTTGCGGCACTATTCGTCGGATACCTATCATCGAATGTTTCATACCAGAAAAAGGGGGTATAAATATGTTGAGCCAGTGGATATTAAATTTCCTTTTCAATACCTTTCAACGATCATGATTCTCAAGATGTGTTTTCCTGTTTTTCCTTTTGGGATCATTCGTTGGGTGTGCGCCAAGTACAAGGGGTTGAAAGCATTGTGTGCATTTATATATACGGTAAAGGACGAATGTTGTCAATGTCACACACCATTATTTTCGGCAGTAGTCAAGGGGCACGTTTAGTTCTTTACGTTGGCAACGAACGCAATCTTTAATTACACATGGGACCAGTAGCATCAGTGAAGACGCAATCTTGGTTTACTTTAGCAAGGTATAAATAGTCAACCGGTATTACCATCCGAACACGTTGACCGTTTTAATTTGGTCAATATTATTTCCCACGATCATCATGAACCCAAGAAAACATTAACACGTCATTCTCAGAAGATAATGGGATACTCCGGGAAGTCAAATATACTGATCCTTAGTGACAGCTTTACGTACAATATTCTAGAATTATTTAATATTCCCGGGCCAAAGCACAAACTAATTTGGGCAGCCGTAGACGAATATAAGATGTGCAATTATCAATCTGAACCTTCCACTCTCCCCAATCCACAAATGCTTACTAAGCAGAAGTGGCTTGAAAAATGCCAACATAATTGCGAATAAGAAACCAACAATGCAGTAAAAAATAAAAAAAAAATACTTCCCAAGCAAGAAGCATAGTTCCCCGGTCCATCCGGACATCTGCTATGCTATGACCTAATCCCGGGGACTGAAACCAAGAAGAATTGAGTAGAGATTTTTATGATGCTAACTACATTTTGAGGTATAATAGGCTGTCAACAGTGTTTGAATGCCAAAAGCAAACCAAGAATATCCTCTAAAGGCCTACACTTACTGATGGTTGTTTCATAACACCCGCATCAAAGTGCAAGATATGCAGGCCGAGGGCTAAATATTTGAGAATTGATTTGAAATTGCAAAAAAATAAATTAAAATAAGTGAAGATCAGCTAATGCCAAGTAATCAGAAAAATCCAAGCCAAACGGTACGGTTAAAACCAAGTAGGCTGCATATACTCTCCTACACAGACAAATACAGGAAAATGCTTTGAACTTGAGACTACAAAAATGATTCAGTAAAAGACTAAACAGCTTATGCTAATTAGACAACCAAGCCAAATTGCATGGTATGATTAAAAAAACTAGGTAGAATGCACATATTATCTATAACTAAATACAAATACAGGAAAATTATTTAGAATTGAGAGGATAGTAATGATTAAATAAACACTAAACATCTTATGTTCTATCTGGGGTGGGGGGCAATGAACAGCTTTTATACTAACTAATCAGCTAAAATCGAGCCGAAGGGTATGGTTAAAACTAAGTAAACTGCATAAATTATCTTACTATATACAAAAGGCTTGGAACCTCAAAAACCAAAAGAGATAACTAGATTGCAAAGATCTAGACATACATACATACATATATAAGATTGCAAAGATCTAACAGCCTCCATTGGTTGAGGAGGCAATCTAGTACCATTCTTCTCCTACATTGCCAGTTGTATGGTTCTATGGCGATGAAGTGCAATAATATAAGTTGAAAGAAAAGGACCAGAAACAGGAGGTTGTGGAGACAACTGACCAAGAAAGATGGAAAAATGAATTAATTAATTATCAAAGTGAAAGACATTGTACCCTGTCTGGGAGATTTCTAGGCATTGGAACTGCAGTAACATATTTCTGGGGGCATGGTTTCTGAGCATTTGCTGTTGCATCAGAGGATGATGAGGTTTCTGCCCCATCATTTTGCCCCCGACCATGGAACTTGGCAAATCGGTTGATGACAGAAAATCTTTCTAAATCTTGACACTCCACTCTTAAGTCCAAAATTGAGGCTCTGCTATCCAATCTGCATCACCAAGCAGAAGAAAGGTTAAAAATAAGTAAAAGGAGAGAATTACCAAAAATTAAAGCTATCATGTAAAGTATACAAAAGCAACAGAAAGGATAACATAATAACCTAAAGACAGTAGCAACAGTAGGCAACTGAAATAAAGAGAACACAGAGAAAAGCAATGTTTCGACATCTCAGTATATTAGCTATGGGATATTGCAAATACCATAATTACCATGTAAAAACAAACTGTAAAGACACCCAAAGAAAGGCATGGGATTACTGCTTCATCAAAAGTTTCAGTAATTCATAGTCCATCAGAATAAGCATAATAATAACCTCTTCCCTTGCAACAAATAAGCATGATTTATCTGTATAAACTCATTGATATAAGTGTGCTTCCCCTAGACTTTTAATTCATCCATCTTGCTTGAGAAGAGATACAACTCATTAAAGATACAAAGCTGAAAACTACTACTACCATAAAAACACTTCTGGATCCTATCCACATAAGTAAAATAGGATGTACAGCCTAAAATTTCAAGAGAAATCACTTGTGTCAGCAAAGTCAATATTTTTACTTCATATTAAAGTTAAACCCATTCAATAGATCAAAAACAAAGTAAAATTGGGCGAATAAAACATTTCATTTTTTAATTTCAACTTGTCAAATCAGTTGTTCTGTGAAATAAATCTTAATAAAAACCTTTTATTAATTTTAGACACAATACCAAAGCAGTTGTTCATTTGCATTCATACACACAGATGAGCCTGCATACGGAAGTTTGTTACCCATATAGATCAGCCATACTTTTTACCAGGGCCATAAGAAAAATAAAATAACTGATTGAAGTATCCAACTGAACATTGTGATTGTACCTCAATATATCATTTTCCAGTTTCTTTGCTCTACCAGCAAAGTCTTCCACTTTCAAAATGTACTGGTCATTTTTCTCAGATGATTTGAGCTTATCGGGCAGGCTACAGAGTATATCAATAAAAAAATTAATTAATGATCATATCGAGAAAAGTGGTTTATTACAAGAGATAAACAAATTCAAACCATTAACTTTCCCAGAGCTTATTTGGGCTTATCATACATACGCACTTGAGCAAATGCTTCATTAAACTTATGAAAATTATAATTATGCTATTAGCTCTTTTTAATTTATTTCAAGACATGCACCCTGTAACAAACAGTAATGCAATTTTTTTAACATTTTAAATAACTCCTAATAATGACCATGGGTGATTCAATAGAAAAGATTAGCTCTTCTCACGTGGTGCCACTTGATATGCCCCTTGTATAGTCAACCATATAAACTCAATTGAAAAGGAAATAAAAGACAATCTTACAGGTTTTTGCTGCCAGGGGACATGATTGTGTCATTTCCAGACCACGAGACAGAACTGCATGCATCTCCTAACACTAATCTAGCAACAGAGTAGACCACACTTTCATGATGCAACTTGACATCCGCAGAGAGAACTGCTGCTGGAGGAGGATTAAGTAGCTGCTGCATAAGCTGTGTACTTAAGACAAGCCTTCGTTTTGACTTCATTGTTGGTAAATCTTCGCTTAGTTCAGTGTCATCTTCAACCTAAAATAATATATGAAGCAAAATGAACTCCTATTAGCAAATGAGTTCACAGATTCAGTTGGAAATATGGATTTGATTACGAACAAACCTTCTCGATCAATCTATTCGCAGCTTGAGCCCAGTCCAATTCTGCCGCACTGCCAAATAATAAGGAACCTCAATCTTCTTAGAAGAGAAAAAGGTATAACAAATTGAGTAATACAAAACAAGATTAAAATATATTCACTAGCAAAAACAAGCATAGAATACCTATTAAGCAAATGAAAATACATTGTATCAACAGGTGAAAGAGAGGGTATACTTTTTCTACTTCTAGTCATCAACAATAGCAACAGAGAATTGCAAGTGCAAAATATGTGTGCTTAGATTAGCTTACTTAGGGTTAAGAGTCTACAATCAAAATCATCAGAGAACTATTGGCTGAAAAAAGCAATTTTGCCAAAATATTAATTTAAAACAAATATGCAAATGTGCTATAAATCACATAATATGGTAAACCACCTGATATCTTGAAGCCTTTCAGAACCCTGTCTCAATTCTTTATGCCAAGGTATGAGTTCAGATGTGGTACTTTTACGCTTCTTTGGCCGCATGACATGCAAATCTGGTTCAACTGCAGGAGGAGGCAATAACTGAGAAGGAAGATGCTCACTTGCAACTGAAGTAAGCATTGGATTTTGCCTAGCATCACTGAGACTATTAACTTGCTCCATTGAATTACCAAGATGCAAACTAACCGATTGGTTCCTTAAAATTAAAGGCTGGTCCATAATTTTGGGAGGAGTCATTGTCCTTACATCATACATTTGCAACATCTTACCATTTTTAAAATTTCCATATTGCTCAAACCATGACGGAGCCATCTGAGGATTTATCACAGAAGGAAGTTGGTTATTATTGGCAACATTAAGAGCATTTTTCTGACCAAATCCTACCCCCTCCTGAGAAGATGCATTAGTGTCTCGCCCATCACCCGGCTTTGTTGAAATGCTTAGTATGTTTGGATCTGATGGTGGCACAGAAGAACTGTTACCTGACATATCTTTTACCATGTTATTGTATCCGTATGACTGTTGTCCAAGGTTGGAGTCAACCTGTTGTTTGTCTGCCATATTATCTGAAATTTTGAATCTCTTGACATCTCGATTACTAGGATCAATCTCCATATTTTTCATGGACTGAACTTGATTTAGCATAGGGAAATTGTGATGCAAAAAATTGTTTGGTCTTAAAGACCGGCCAAAATCTTCAATATCTTTTGAAGTAGCAGCTGAACTTGATTGAGATGCATCAGGTATACATTTCACATGGGAAACACTTGCAGTCTCTTCAGCAGCATCAACACTCTCAGGAAATACCTGCTGCCCAGAATGGTTATCATCTTTCTCTAAATCTTCAATACCTGGCTTCTGTGGTCCCATTGAAGTTTCACAAATATTAGTTGGTTGGGGATGAGATGGAATCTTCATAGCGTTAGGATGTTGCTTACTAGAAACACTCGTCCATACATTGTGTAAAACCCTTGAAGGGGCACCATGAGGAGATGCAACAGAAGGATGAGGAGCTTTGCCAGCTTCTAATGCTGAAATTTTCATGGTAGGATCTCCAGGACAAATTTGATTCGTACCATCAATCTGGGACATGTCCTGAGCAGATGCCAAATCAGATTTACTAGTCTGAGCTCTCTCAGAATATTCATCTACCTGATTAGTGGAAGCAGCCCGATCATAAGGTGCATTATCACATTGGGTATTTGCTACTTGTCCACCAAGATTAGCCATATTCTGATTTTGAGTATGGATCCTGGAGAAAGGAAAGCCAGATGCGAAAGCCTGTGGAATATTTCCCATTGCACTGTACTGCAAGGCTTTATCAAAAATTTGTCCAGAGGTACCAGAAATGTTATTCCTAAGCTCATGAGATAACTCCCGAGAAGGAAAAGATTGAGTAGCAGCCAACCATGTATGACCTTTATCCCCTGTCTCAGATGCAACATGTGGTGTAGCATGAGAAGACGACATAGGAATCCTTTGAGTAGGAGGTGCCAATTGTAAACCAAAGCCCTGAGAAAAAGAACTCTGATTTCGTTGAGAATGTACAATAGACCCATCAGAAGATTCAGTATCCATCACCCTGGAAGATAAAGGGCGGTTAGAAGTGCTTGTGTTTGTTGCAATGCCATGGTCCCTTGACTGATCCACTTTATGAAGAAGCTCAAGAATATTTTGACTACAATAATTTAACAAATCAAAGCAAACAGTTGAGCCAAGGTCACCATGTACATCATGGAAAATAAAAGAGAAATAACAAACCATGTTGGAGTACCAATTACACCAGAAGTTAGCAAATGAAAAGGTAACACAAGCATGTTCCTTCCCACTCTAAAAATGTACCAATAAATTAGAAGGAACTACCATCTGATGACCCACTAAATTTGCAAGCTCAAAACTAAAGCAAGAAAAAATTCAATGTTAAACTACCTGGTTGAAGCAGTCTTGTTCAAGGTATAATTACCAACACTTCTATCAAATGGAGTCAATGTTTTTGGCATATGACCAGGCAGTATGCTTTTTGAAGCGTTATCGTCTATGGTTTTTGAGTCACCCTGAAATGTAGATACCTTCCCCTGTTAAATTCTAATGGATTTAACGTATTTTGATTCTCTAATAAGTAGGAAAAACTTTTTTCACTCAAGATATTGAAACTTGCATAATAAGGGTAAAGTTTTAAAATTACCTTCTCTGTTTCAGCATAATTCCCATCAGAATGACCATATTTTGACTGCCCAGGATAGTTTTGCTCCTGACCTTTAAGTCTGCCAAAGGGTTGGTGGGGCGCGGGCTGTGAATTTATGACATGTTTGTTTCCATAAGGTTCTACATCAACACCAACATCCCCCATTGGATGATACTGAAATTTACGAGTTACAGGAGGTCTTCGATTTCCCTGCCCAGATAACTTTGGACTATGCAAATCACCATCAAAACCAGCATTGTCTCTCAAACCACCAGCCCTATGATGGGAAGAATTGGATCCAGGGCCATCTGCTGATATATCCTTTTTGTTAGAGTTTTCCATATTGTGTGCCTCTCCTTCTGACTTTTCATTCTTTAATGATTCCAAAATTAAAGGGTTCTTTTCCATGTGAGACCTATACTTTCCTGCACCTTCATTTCTTCTATAGCTCCCCACAGAATCTGCTTGTCTCCATACATCAACATTAGGGGGCTGCTGGTTGCTTTGCCTGTTGACCCATGTAGCACCTGAATTTGGTATGGCAGCAATACCATTCATACCAGAATCCTCCCCAGAAACCTGCATATTACCTGCAGATTTTGTATGTTCCAACCCAAGAGCTGAACTGGAATCAGAATCAGGCTCCCACATAGCAGGAACCTGACCCATATCCTCCTGCATAGCTTTATCATGATGGGATTGCAACACGTTTTCATTTTCACGGATTCTCATATTAGAATTGTTATTAGGTGGGGGAGATTTGATTGCATTCCATCCATTAGATCTATTAAATGGCTCACCACTACTACTAGGGGATGTCAGCGTCTGTTGATGGGTCCAAGAACCTGAAATAACCTTTTCATTTATTTCTAAACCTGAAGAATTAGCAGCATTTCCATAAATATGACTCCCTTCTGCAATTGGTTTTAGCTGAGGGCTGCAATCTAACCATTTGCCTCTTTCTAAAAACTGTGGAATTGATCTTTGAGTAGAATCAGTCTGTAACCTGTCATGTTGTTCCTGTGCAGTATCAGCACCTGGCTGAAGAAATCCAGGAAGACCAGAATAGTTTACTGTGTTATTGTGCCTACTAAGATCATCCGGACGAAGAAAAGGCCTTGAATTTACATTGGGTGCAGACTGCAAGTTACTGTCAGCCCAAACTGACTGCTGTTTGCTGCTATCAATGGTCGAGGGCCGATCATTTCCAGATGAATGCTCAGTATTCCGGAAACTTAGACCACTCCACTCTTCCTGTACACCCATTGCACTACTAGAAGCTTCAGCTACAGCAGACTGCATAAGTGCACTCCAACTCCCACTCTGAAGTGACGGATATCCACCAAAACCATCTGTACCATCCAGCACATTAAAACCAGCATTCTTGCCAAATCCATCCCAAAGATTGTCATCTGAACCAAATAAAATCTTCTCTTCCGTTGGATCTAGGGTAGCCACATTCTGTGGAGGAACCTGCACTACCACCTTGTCCTGTGAAGTTTCAGAAGATCCAGCTAATTCTTGCCTCCCATTAAAATCTTCAATTGGTACATCTCTTTGCTCAGAATTTACTTGCTGCAAGTTCTCCATATTTAGTCCACTGTTTATACCTTGAGCAAGAGAACCAAACATACTTTTTCCAATATCCTGTCTTGAAACTGAAGTTCTATCATTTGTGTTTGGTTGATCTGAAATTGCAGTATACTGATGAACTGGAAATGAATTACCACTGGCTGATATATGTGGTAATGTTGGCTTGTCACCCTGAACCCGAGAATACTGATGTTGGACAGAAACCTGAGACACTGCAGGCTTATCTGCTTGAACATGAGAATACAAGTTAGGTGTACCTCTAGAGCCAGAAATTGGAAGCCCATAAAGAGACTGGTCTCCCTGATTAGGGACCAAACCCATCAGGCGCATTTGTTCAGGAGATAACACAAGTCCATTAGAGGACCCTTGCATAACCGGAGATGCACCATGCTGGAGCCAATTTGCATTAGTTGCCATTACTTCAGGCTGCCACACAAGGTTAGATGCCTCATTGATGGGAATGCCATTAATAAGAGACGCAGAATGGCTTGCAACTGTCTGTTTTGAAATGGAGGAAGCTGGATTCATAGGACTCTGTTGCCTAGCTTCTAGTTGATGAAATTGTTGCTGCCTTTGAAGTTCTTGCATCTGGTTGAGCATTGCTTGCTGTTGTAAAAGTTGCATGTCATTCATCCCAGACTGCTGTCTAGGAAAAGCCTGAAGCATACCTGAATGCCGACCACCTATTTGCTGTTGACTTCCAAAAAAGTCATAATTGACAGGAGACTCAGATGCATCAGTCCTAGCCAGGTTTTTCTTATAATGTTCAAGACCAGCCCCTTGTTGTGACTCTAGCACTGATATTCCTCTTGATAGATTTGACATGCCATGCAAATCAGCTTCAGTATCCATTCCCAAAATGCTTGCTTCATTTTGCCGGGACTGAAAAACCTGATGTCCTTGCATATACCCATTAACAGCTGTTGGTTGATTTGGAAGTTGATTTCTGCCAGAGTCAGGCCTCAGATTTGATTGGGCCAGGTTCAAACCATGTCGCAAATGAGGACTGCTTGTGTGTCCCTGCTCAAAATCTTCATACAAGTAAAGGAAATATGATTAGTAATGACAAGGGGGAGAGAGAGACTACATAATGAAGTTAAAGTTCAAAATCAAAGTTACATTAAACCAACAGACATTTATGCAAAATGTAATTGCAAGTGAATAAGCTATTTAAAAAAAAACATCCACCTGATTGTTGTAGATTAAAATTCTTCAAATTGGAAATAAAAGGTGCACCAGTTGGTCTCTGGCTACCAGCCCACAAATTGTTGCTTAGCCCTGCCCAGTTCCCGTCAACTACCTGTGTATGATACTGGCCCTGGGACAAGTTCTCCTGACCAAAAAAATTATGGACCCTGTCTCCTACTTCGTTCCCAGGCATAGATAACCCAACCCACAATTTTTCAGCAGATAACTATTAATAAGAAGGCGTAATAAATCAAGGAAGATCAAGAAAAAGTTTCTCCAAATATTATGCTGTCCAAAAACACACCTCTGAGCTACTATCATTTACTCCTGGAAATTATTAAAGGAAAATAATTAGTCAGCAAGCAAAAACCCATTTGGCTCACGTTAACTAATACAATATTGTGAAAAGACAAGATAAAATAACAATAATTAACATCTCAAGCAAGATATTATACTTTACAACTATTGATCAAATGCACCATTGAATAATACAGAATACTGAAGATCAGTGCACAACAGTGAAATGCAAACAATTCACACCCACAAAACAATACATTTTTCATGATGCAGAAATAGGCATCTGGAAGGAATACTTTCTGTGATAAGCATTGTGTTGCTAAATGAAATTTCCTAGATAAAATCAGCTCTAAAACTTTTGTTTTTTTAGGGCCTGTTCGTATCTCCCTTCTCAACAGAGTTAGTTCACCGCAATTTTTTTCCTTTTGAAGTCTTGATGTTGAACGGAGTTTTTTCACAATGACAAACATGTAACCTCAGTATTGTTTCTTAAACAAACAGGCTTCTAATTGATTAAAACATATAGGTAACTGGGTAAAGTGTACAAAGAAACATAGAAATTCATTAGGTTATACATCCAACATTAAGGTTGTCAACGCTCCTTCTTATATGTTGAAAAAGATGGGAAAAGTTGAAGACAGAAATTGAAAAAGAAAGGACTGCAGTTCCAACTTCTGATTTATAATGTTATATACTCAGAACTATCTCCAGTCTCACAAGGCAGAATCAATGTGTTTATATAACACATTTTAAGTGTACACCATAGTAGTTTTTTTCAAATATTTTTTTATACATTCACAGGTACTGGACTTTCATCCCTCCCTACACCAGTAGTCTAGTACTATTATACTATCTGAGCATTGAAAACTACTAAAGGATTTGTTCTTTCCAAATACAAAAGTATCTATGTATATAAAGGATTATTTCTTTCCAGAAACAAGTGTCACCACCACTTGCTCACAAATAAATAACGTCTACAGTCAATTGAAGGATTGGTGTATACAGCAATCAAAATGGAGAATATTTAAACAGGTTGTGACATCTTTCAAATCAACCATAAAAACAAATCTTAAGAAAGGGGGAAAGACAATTATGAAACACAAATGCATAACCTCAAACATAGTTCCTGCAGATTGAGCTGATAAAATCAGAGGCATGCAAAAATGAGAATAAAAGGCCCACTGCAAAGCTTCTATTATGCAGCTTCATCTTTTCTATTTACAAATGGGCGTAGTTCTAGTAATAGCATTCAACATGTTTAGACATACTCACACCCTTGTCTTTAACTAATTATATAACTTATCCAAAAGGACATCTGAGAAATGCATCACATTTTTGGCAACTGACAGTTATTTCTTGACATTAAAAGCAAAGTCTAATTAATTACAAAACCATAACCAGTAAATATCTCAAAAAGCAAACTCATCTAAAAACTTCAAAGCATCCAGTATCAAAATTTCCACTTTAGTTCCGTGAGTGTGTAGACTTCAAGTACAAAACCAGCAATAAAGTATTATTCCACTAGGTGAGGTCAGTTACAAAAATCATATATCACTGACCTCACACTTCAACTACGTCTATAAAAAAAGATGTTCACCACGAATTCCATCATCTCTGATCTACTTTTCCAGTTCCATACCCATATTGCATCCGCAGGGATAGAATTTGAAGTAACCACTTTCTAATAACTATCCTAAAATTAACCAAGTATAATCTACTTGCATAAATCACTTACGTGAATCAAATTACCAGTAGAAGAAACCGTTCCTCTTCATTTTCCATAGACTACGAAGGGAAGGTCCTATTAGTTTATCAATAATTCACACTCTCCTTCCCAATACAGCAGAAACCTAAAACTAGAAAGAAGACAGCTGAAGCAACCAACAAAGAAAATCTAAAATCCAATACGCACAATTTACCTAAGCTGAAACATCTTCACTTCTTAAAAGAAATGGGAGGAACCAAAACACACAACACTCAATTACTATTCCTTTCCCCCTACTTCCCCATCAGCTGAACCCGAAAATCACTCGAAAATCTCAGAATTATGAGCGAAACGCAAAAGATCCGAAACGCGGCACAATTCGAGCTCACAATTAGCATTCAAATTCAGCAGATGACACGAAACGACTAAACGAGCTTGCGAAATCGCGCCCAGCACAAAAAACCAAAGACGCAAACATAGATTTGCTTTTTGTTTTTTCTTTTATTTTCCGCAAAGAAAGGGTTCCTAGAGAGAGAAGGTTAGGGTTTTCAGAGATAGAAAGATAGTCCGTGAACTCACAGTGACATTGAGAAGCCTCCATTGAAGCTCAAAACTGATCCTGCGAGAGTGTTGAGGAAGCAAGCGTTAGGGTTTGAAGCGGTGGAAGCAGAAGAAAATAGGACTCTCTCAGCTCACACAGATAAAGTGATCGAAATAGTGCGAAATTTTCAACGAACAGAGGAACAATACTCAGGCTCGGTCCAGAGGTAGGCTTCGGAGAACCGAAGCTCCTTGCTTCGGATACGAGCCTGGGCCCTTTGAAGCCTCTTTTAGAAAATGGGGTGAGTTAGCTAAAGAGAGCCCAAGAGGGGAAGATGGCATGTGAAGAGTTGTTGAGGGTAAATGCCCTCTCCAATTGCAACGATACACGTGTCACCGTGACGCCACAATCACTTTTTTTTTTTTGAGTGAGTTGATAGGGGAATAAAATGCTGGGCAGAAAGCCCAATAACTTTTAAAAGAACACTTAATCATACAATATAACTCTTTTTGAAAAGTTTTTAAATTATTAAAATAAGTTATATTTCAAATTATATACTGCTATTTATGGAAATTCCATTCCTGAATGATATTGAAAGAGTTTCATTCAAATTTAAATAATTATCATACAAAATCTTATAAACAAATATTCTATTTATAAGCTAAGCTGACGGCACAACTAACTTTTATTACAAAATAAATTAAAGCTACTTTTAAAAACCACGTAAACTCTTTTTCTCTTTACTCTTGCAATTTTTTCCTCCGCTGTAATAACATTTATTTTATTTATTTATCTTATATAAAGGCGAATCTTATCTATCTCTACAGCTTTTTTATTGTTTTTAAAAATATAAAAAAAACAATTAAAACATGTATTAAAATTATAATATTTGAGAAAAACATGTGACATAATACAAATTGGGAAGACTTAAAACGAGTCAAGATAAAATTTTGATGGAATTTTATTTTAAAGTTTATATATATATGAAATAAAAGGAGTGGACTGTGTTACGATACTGATACATGTTTTTCACGAGCCTTCTGCTCATACGTTGATTACGTTGAGTTATATTAAGAAATTTTGTTACGGTCTAATCGAAGAGATTAAAAAAAAAATTATGATAATAATTTTGTCACATCAATTTTTTTTAAGGATCAGCATAATAGGTGATACACATCTCATTAAATATAATTTAAATATATTTATAATTTTTATAAATATAACTTCATTTAATTTTTAGAAACTATGAATTCATAAATTTTTAATATTTATAATAACTTTTTTAATTATATCATATAAAAAAATTTATTCATCAACAATTATTTTAATCTGGCATATTAAATATTTACCACATCATCACCGTATAATGACTGTGACTATTTTAAAAAATCTTGAAATTTATTATTATTAAAACTAATTAAAAAATGTTTTAGAAGGCTAGAATCACATTAAGGTGTACTTTTTTAGACAAAAGATGCATTCGGATAAGTAAATTAAATATTTATTTAATGTTTTTTTATTACATAAAAGTTTATAGTGTAAAATTAATTATAAAATTTATTGAAGTAAATAAAAAACATTGTTGAAATAAATTAAAAAACAATTTACAAGATATCTTGATAAAAACTTTATAACTTTTTTCTAAATATCTTTTGAAATTATATTGCACTTAACAACTTTTCAACGAGAATGTCTTTATTATGGAAGTAAGATTTAATAAGTCATTTGCATTTGATCAAACATTTTTTTATAATTTAAAAAACACAAATTCTAGAAAAAAAAAACTAATATCAAAATTATCAGAACTGTAACATTGTGAGTCATATCAACAACTCATTTTAAACTGATTTATTGATTTAATTTTTGTCTCTTTAAAATTAAGATTTTTTTTTTTATCGATGTCTTTTTGGCTTTTTATCTTTCATGTCATCTATAATATCTTCCAACAACATTTAATAATTTGGATAATAAATTAATAAGAGAGACGACTTAAATGTAAATTTTGACAGTAACAAATGATTGTAAGTTTGTAATAATAATAATAATATGCATAAAACAGAAATAGATTCTCTTATAAGATTAAACCTTTGAGTTCACTAAATTATCTTAGCATGCTTCTATCATTATCATAACCTAATCTACAAATTCTTGATATATTAAGTCCATGTTTGCAAAATAATTCATCAATTGTCATTTTTAATAATAAGGTTGTAATATCTTGAACATACACTATACCAAAAAAAAAAAAAAACTCAATAATATTTTAATTTTTATTTGAAAAAAGGCAAAGGAATGGTCATTTGCTCATTATTTGAGGGCTTGGTTAACAATAACAACAAATATTTGATGTCTAAGATGGTAATATACACTAACATTATTCATTTCAGAGCAATTAATTAATAATTTTTAAAGATTTTTTCTACGTAATGTGATTTAATGGATTGTATTCAGTAAAACAAAAGTTCAAGAAAGAACCTTAACCAGCAAAATTGATTGCTTGATCATAACTACAAAAAGTTAATCCTTGCTTTGATATAAAGCAACTGTAATCAATTGAAGTAGTTAAACGTTTTTGGTATAAGTAAAAACTTGTTCATATTACTTAAATTTGTAAATTCAATGCGTTTATTTTGATCACTTCTTCCAAGCAATGTTACAAGAAACCATTGTTCTTTGAAATTATATTTCACTTAACAACCTTTGAGTTCACTAAATTATCTTAGCATGTTTCTATCATCATCGTAACCTAATCTACAAATTCTTGATATATTAAGCCCATATTTACAAAATAATTCATCAATTGTCATTTTTAATAATAAGGTTGTAATATCTTCAACATACACTATACCCAAAAAAAAAAAACACTCAATAATATTTTTATTTTTATTCAAAAAAAGACAAAGGAATGGTCATTTACTCATTATTTGAGGGCTTGGTTAACAATAACAGCAAATATTTAATGTCTAAGATGGTAATATACACTAACATTATTCATTTTTGAGCAATTAATTAATATTTTTTAGAGATTTTTTCAACGCAATGTGATTTAATAGATTGTGTTCAGTAAAACAAAAGTTCAAGAAAGAACCTTGACTAACAAAATTGATTGCTTGATCATAACTACAAAAAGTTAATCCTTGCTTTGATATAAAGCAACTGTAATCAATTGAAGTAGTTAAACATTTTTGGTATAAGTAATAACTTGTTCATATTACTTAAATTTGTAACTTCAATACGTTTATTTTAATCACTTATTCCAAGCAATGTTACAAGAAACCATTATTCTTTGTTTCAACTGTTAATCCTTTACGGCAACACAATAATGATGCATCTTTTTTACTTTGTTTGTCAAATTCAATAAACCAAGAGAAACAAAATCTTCTCAAAGTAGGTTAGCATGTTTGTAAACATGTTCCTCATATATATATATTTTTCAATAATTAGGACGATATCCTAAATTTTTTAATAATTTTCCTTAATCTTCTAAATTAATTTCAATTTGTTAGTGTTAGAAACTTGATTCACAAAGTTTTGATGAAAAAGATTGCATTCATTGATGGTAATTTGCTTTTAAAAAAATTACACCCTTTAAAAAAATTCTCTAAATTATGATATCTATAAAGAAATAGATCTATAATTTCACCAAACAAATTTTAAAATACAATCAAATACAAACATCAATAAATAAAAATATCTATCACATTAATTTCACTATGTTGAGTTATCCAAAGGATGTGTTAAATATTAATAACATAGGCTAATGTTACAAAAAGTCATCAATAAATTCAATGATAAACAAAAATTTGGACCACATTGGTAAACAAACATTCAATGACCTTTATTGATAATAACTTCAAATATATTAGTCCACATCTAGTTCTTATATGTTATATACATTATAATAGTCATCTAATAATAAAAATAAATGTTTTTTTTGGGTAGAGAAAATAAATGTCTTTTTACTTAAAGTATATCAAAAATTTTGAATCCACGAAACTGTATCTTAACTCTTGATAAATATACTTTTGTTTTTTATTTCTCTGAGTAAGTAATTTTTTTCTATATAAATGAGTTTTGAATTCTTCTTGAACTCTCTATAATAATATATGTTTTACCTATAAAAAAATTTAAAGTATATCAAAAACTTTTTCTGAATTAAAATTAAATAAATTTGACAATTAAAATAAAATTTTAATTTTAATAGTAAAACAACAAAAAACTCTTATAAAATAACATGTAGAATTTGTTATTCTTTGATCAAAATTAAAATTTTATCTCATTAATGTATAATAATATTAAATATATTTTTTATTAAAATAATATTTTAATTTTAATTAATAAAAGTAACTCTTATAAAATAGTATGTTAATTTTTATTTTTTTATTTATTGCACTATGTATTTTGAGTAGGAAAAGATAAAGATAAAATGTTTCTTTTATTAATCTAGACAAGTTTGGCAATGAAACTTTAAACAGTTAAAGAATGTTTGATTTCTCTTTTAAAAAGAATTTTTAATTTTTTTAAATATAGTATAAATTTATATTATATTTAGAAAAAAATTAAAAACTCTTTTAAAAATAAAAAACAAACATACCCTTAGTTTTTTTTTTTTTTAATTTAAAACTTTCTATCATATTTTCCATTTACATAAATCTGGAGAAAAGACAAAATATTAATGTGTACAACAACCTTCAAGAAGGAAAAAAAAAAAAAAAAACAATGTGCCTAAAATGAGTCTGGACTTAACTTTGGGTTTGGACTTTCAAGACTTTAAAATTAAAAGAGCAGGAGACTAAATGCAAAAACTTAAGAAATTTTGTTTAATAAGTTAAAAATATATATAAATATAGAAGGGAAAAAATATTTACTTGTGATTTTATCAAATATAATTAGGTTTACAGTTAGTTGGTGGCAAAATAAGAGATGGATAATTATTAAAAAAAATAGATAAAAAGAGAGAGATGGATAGTATGCATAAATATTGTGAATGAATAAATAATACATTGGACTTGTTACGCTCTTTTAAATGTCCTTATAGGTTCATCTTGTATTAATTAGATGCAACGTGACTTCTGAATATTAAAGTGGACAGAATTGGAGTACATTTTTTAATTTAATTGGTTAATTTTATTAGAATCGCTGTTTTATATATTTAATGTTATTATAAATCATTAAGATAAATTTTTAACTGTATTTAAATAATAATAAAAAATACAAAAAAAAATTATCCTACTAAAAATCTATAGTTAAAAGATATCTAAAAAGGAATTTAAAGAAAAGTTAATTAGTAGCTGAAAAATCACTATTAAAGTAAAGATATTTAAGTATATTTTATTTTGAATTTTTTTATTAAAGTATACTTTATGAAAAAAAATTAGTTAAATCTGATTTTAAAATTATAGCATACTCTTGAATATGAAAAATCATTTCTCTTATTGAAAGCATCGTTGATCCATAAACTTTTGCTGTATTGTACGAGGAGGAAAATTAAGCGTCTAGCTAACAATTTAAGTAAACGTGTTATCGTTACATATTTATATCATAAAGTTGATTATAAAATTTATTAATATAACTTAAAACTACTCCATTATAACAACTTATACAAACAAATTCATTTAAAAAAAAAAACCTTAAAGAAGTTAATTATTTTTATAAAAACTCTTTCAGATCATTCTGAATCATTGATATTTGTTTTGTCATTCACCTAATTTATTTCGTTGAATGTTCAAACAACTGTCAATAAAAAATTTAATTACTTTAATTTTACTAAATAATTAAATTCTACTTATCATTAAAATAAAAATATAATTTTATTTATATTATCTCATTTTATTTAATAAAAATATTTATAAATAAAAAAATAAAATTATTTACTATCCCAATGTTTAAGATGATAAATAAATTTAAATATAAAATAACGTGATTGTTTGAAAAAATCACTAAATTTATGTTTTGAATTTAAATTTTAATAAGTAACCAACGTTAAATAGTCAAAGTAATAATTTTGAATTAAATTTAATTACAAACAGTAAAAAATATGCGTAATTTTAAAAAAATTATATTTATTATAAGAAGTTTTTTCATATATATTTTTTTAATTTTTTTCGTTTAAATAGTTTGAGGTTTTGTGTTTATTTATTAAATTAGAACGTTATTTGTACTCTCTTAATTATTCTTCATCTTTATTTTATTTTTCATTGAAATAAATCCTTCCAATATTTTTTGCTTATTTTTGTTAAAAACATTTGTTTTACAAGATTTTTAGGAAAGGAAATAATGGTTCGTTCTAAAGGGGGAAAAAAAAATATTGGATTCAGCGAGCTATAATAGAAAACTTACGTTTACTTAAAAGAAATAAAATGAAAACTAGTGACTTGTTAAATATGAGACCTTTTTTTTTTGTTTTTCATTCAACTAACTCCTTAAAATTTCGTTGAAATTATTTTAACTTGTTTATCCAAAGTATTTAACCAGATAAATATTTTTAAAACAAAAATGATTTATTTTGTCTTTCATTATCTTCTCATTAAAAGAATATTAAATATATAATTTTTTTTATCATTTTATTATTATTAATTATTCGAATTCTATATTAATATGTTACTAGTATAAAAAACATAAATATGAACTTTTATATTCACAGCTATAAAAAATATAATTTACATAATATTTATAAATAGATGACAATTCTAGCTTTGCCTTTTTTTTTTAATGATTCGACGACCATTTACTAAAATCTAGATAAGAAAGTGAAGAATGGACATGGGCAGTGACGAAGGTGAATAAACATTGGTGGAAAGGTGTGTGAGAAAGAAAATAGTAATGATGTTTTGTTGGGTAATAACAGAAGAAACTAGAAGGAAATGGAGAAGTCTAGGAGTTTCTTCTTCTACATTCACCGCGAAACCTCCAGAACCATTCCGATGCATCTTCTCCTTCAACAAATACCACACCTTTCTCTCTTCTCCACCGCTTCACTTACATTCACAACGATAAGTAACATTACTCCATTATTACTCTAACGTAACCAAACTCTACGCAATTGTATATACACTCCTTTACCCGTTTCATTCCACACTCACTAGCTTCTCAATTTCTCGTAAAGCAAATCTTTTTTCTTTCGCGTCTCAAGGTACGTGAAACCCATGTTTCCTTTCTTATTCTTTCTGATTCCACGCCTTGCTATGTCTTCTTGAGTCGTTTCTTATTTTTGTTATTCTAATTCCAATTCTTATTTTTGTTATGCAGATTAGAAATGAATCCCGACAAGTTTACCCACAAGACGAACGAGGCTCTTTCCTCGGCGCACGAGCTTGCAATGAGTGCAGGACACGCGCAGTTCACTCCTCTGCACCTTGCATGCGCTTTGATATCTGATGCAAGTGGTATTTTCTTCCAAGCGATTTCAAGTGCAGGTGGGGAGGAATCAGCACGCGCCGCGGAGAGAGTGTTTAACCAAGCGTTGAAGAAGTTGCCGTGTCAATCTCCTCCTCCTGATGAGATACCCGCGAGCACGACCCTGATCAAGGCAATTAGAAGAGCACAGGCTGCACAGAAGTCGCGTGGGGACACGCACTTAGCCGTTGATCAAATGATTCTGGGAATACTCGAAGATTCTCAGATTGGAGAGTTGCTGAAAGAAGCAGGGGTGGCTACGGCTAGGGTAAAATCAGAGGTTGAAAAGCTTCGTGGGAAGGAAGGGAAGAAGGTTGAAAGTGCTTCTGGGGACACTACTTTTCAGGCTTTGAAGACTTATGGGCGTGACCTTGTTGAACAAGCGGGGAAGCTTGATCCTGTAATTGGGCGTGATGAAGAAATTAGAAGGGTTGTGAGGATTTTGTCAAGGCGAACCAAGAACAACCCGGTTCTTATTGGAGAACCGGGAGTGGGTAAAACTGCCGTGGTTGAAGGGTTGGCACAGAGGATTGTAAGAGGGGATGTTCCAAGCAATCTTGCTGATGTTAGGCTTATTGCGTTGGATATGGGTGCATTGGTTGCGGGTGCTAAGTATAGGGGAGAATTTGAAGAGAGGTTGAAGGCGGTTTTGAAGGAAGTGGAGGAAGCTGAAGGGAAAGTCATTCTTTTTATTGATGAAATTCATCTTGTTCTTGGTGCTGGTCGAACTGAAGGGTCAATGGATGCTGCTAATCTTTTCAAACCTATGCTTGCACGTGGCCAACTTAGATGCATTGGTGCCACCACACTTGAGGAATATAGAAAGTATGTGGAAAAGGATGCGGCTTTTGAAAGAAGGTTTCAACAGGTTTATGTGGCTGAGCCTAGTGTGCCTGATACCATTAGTATACTTCGTGGGCTGAAGGAGAGATACGAGGGTCATCATGGTGTTAGAATTCAGGATCGTGCTTTGGTTGTGGCAGCTCAATTGTCTAGTCGGTATATTACTGGTATGTAGTTTCGACTCTTTTGGTGTGTTTGTTTGTTTTTTGACTTAATTTTTACTTGTGCTTTTGAAAGTTCATAGTTTTGATTTTGGGTTTTGTTTGTGTGACGTGCTTATGTTTTATGTGCTTGTTCAGGGCGTCATCTTCCTGATAAGGCAATTGACTTAGTTGATGAGGCTTGTGCAAATGTGAGGGTTCAACTTGATAGTCAGCCTGAAGAAATTGATAACCTTGAGAGAAAGAGAATGCAGCTGGAAGTGGAACTTCATGCTCTAGAGAAGGAGAAGGACAAAGCTAGCAAAGCCCGTCTTGTTGAAGTGAGTATTGATATTTGGTTGCATTATTGAATTTTTCTAGTTCTGTTGTTTTGGTCATATTTCAGTTGTTCTAACTTCTGTTGCTATGTGAAGGTTCGGAAGGAACTTGATGACTTGAGAGACAAGCTTCAACCCTTGATGATGAAGTACAGAAAAGAGAAAGAGAGGGTTGATGAGATTAGAAGGCTCAAGCAGAAGCGAGAGGAGCTCCTCTTTGCTCTACAAGAGGCTGAGAGACGATATGATCTAGCCAGAGCTGCTGATTTGAGATATGGTGCAATTCAAGAAGTGGAAACTGCTATACAACAGCTTGAAGGGAGCACTGAGGAGAACTTAATGTTGACAGAAACTGTTGGACCAGAGCAAATAGCCGAGGTTGTGAGCCGCTGGACCGGTATACCAGTGACTAGGCTTGGCCAAAATGAGAAAGAAAGGTTGATTGGTCTTGGTGACAGATTGCATAAAAGAGTTGTAGGGCAAGACGAAGCTGTTAATGCTGTTGCTGAGGCTGTGTTGAGATCAAGAGCTGGGCTTGGTAGACCTCAACAACCAACTGGTTCATTCCTGTTTCTTGGTCCAACTGGTGTTGGTAAAACTGAGCTTGCAAAGGCTCTTGCTGAGCAACTCTTTGATGATGAAAATCAGTTGGTGAGGATTGACATGTCTGAATACATGGAGCAGCACTCAGTTTCTAGACTGATTGGTGCACCACCAGGGTAAGTAGATAAGAGGTGAAATTCAGCTGTTTGCTTTTTATTTTGGTATTAGAATAATATCTAATTACTTGCATTTGATTTTCAGATATGTTGGACACGAGGAAGGTGGACAATTAACTGAAGCTGTAAGGCGAAGGCCTTACAGCGTGGTACTTTTTGATGAAGTAGAAAAGGCGCATACATCAGTGTTCAACACTCTTCTTCAAGTTTTAGATGATGGGAGGTTAACTGATGGACAAGGCCGTACTGTGGACTTCAGAAACACTGTCATTATCATGACCTCAAACCTTGGAGCAGAACACCTCCTAAGTGGACTTTCAGGAAAATGTTCAATGCAAGTTGCTCGAGATCGTGTATTGCAAGAGGTATGTTCCAAAGGCTACATAATATACTATGATAGATGTTCCATTGTGTTACTTGTTGCCATAATTTATACTAATATATATTTTTTTACTTATATCAGGTGAGAAAGCATTTTAGGCCAGAATTGTTGAACCGACTTGATGAAATTGTGGTATTTGATCCACTTTCACACGAGCAATTGAGGAAGGTTGCAAGGTTGCAAATGAAGGATGTTGCTATTCGTCTTGCTGAGAGAGGAATTGCCTTGGCAGTGACAGATGCAGCACTAGACTATATTCTTAGCGAGAGCTATGATCCGGTAAGTGTCTATCATAACATTTATGTTTAGCATTGATGTTAGGAAATATAGTAGCTGGTACTAAATAGCCTTTTGTTACTTGCAGGTGTATGGTGCTAGACCAATCAGGAGGTGGCTTGAGAAGAAGGTGGTGACAGAGCTGTCTAGAATGCTTATAAGGGAAGAGATTGATGAGAATTCAACAGTTTACATAGATGCTGGATCAAAAGGGAGCGAGTTGGTCTACCGTGTGGAAAAGAATGGAGGGATTGTTAATCCAACAACTGGTCAGAAATCAGATATTTTAATTCAGTTACCAAATGGACCAAAAAGTGATGCTGCTCAGACAGTCAAGAAGATGAAGATTGAGGAAATTGATGATGATGAAATGGAAGAGTGAATTTTATAAGTGTAATTATCTTTGATGCCCAGAGTGGCCCAAGTTTTTGTTCCTCCTTAAAACTGCTTTTTTTTTCTATTTTCTGAACGAGTGTGAGTGACCGAAGAAAGAAGTTTCTTGTAATACATGCAGCTTTTGTTTGATCAATAAAATTTTGTTTCTGTGAATAAGTTGATTAATGATTACTAAATTGGGATGGGTATTTTCAGGTCCTTTTAGTTGCTTGTAATCTTTGCTGGGCGAACCTGGAAATTGTCTATCTGGTACTTGTTAATTTTTGTGCAATAGTTCGTTTTTGTGATATAAGTTTCAATTTGCATCTTGTCACTACTTGCAGTTTTTCTAGGTAGCAATTACAGGCACAACTGGCGTCCATATCATTGTCGGTAAACATCTCTTGTAAAAGAATGATGGTACATCACTCTCCTCACATGAAATTCTTTGGTTTTCTTATTTTCGTCTAACCCAACAATTTATTAATTTCTATTCATAGCTTAGTTAGATTTAGTTTTTAAAGTTCCATAGTCTCGAATTTCTTTAGTCTACATCACTTGGACTTTTTCTAGTCAAATTCAGGTTGTTTTTATTTAATTATGGAGATAATATGGGTTTGAAATTGAATTGAATTTGAATAGCTATCTTGTAACTAGAATTAAAAAAAAATTACCTGGCTCTCAAGTCTCAATAGACTTCGGAGTTCAAATTGTGGATTTTCCAACTTTCCAATAATCGAAGTTTTTTTCATTATTATTTAATTTATGTGGGAAATTGTGCACGATTATTTAATGATTTGATTTTAGTTTGAAAATTAATTCTTACGACAAAACAAATGAAATAACAAGTGATGTAGACTAAAGAAATTCGAGACTGTGGAACTTTAAAAACTAAATCTATTATTATATTGTAACAGTATTATATATATTTATTGTGTGTATATTGTAAAACTTCTATTCTTATATTAAGATTATTGCACGATGTATGTGCTCACGCAATGACATCACTTCAACATCATTTATTGTAAGAAAAATAAGATGAGGATCTTCATTCTATAAGTTAATTGAATTATTTCTGAGTCTAAATAACATTTTCATATTTTTTTTAAAACTTTCTCTAAATAATTATTAACTCAATTATATTATATACTACTAATTAATTAATTTTTTATAAAATAATAAAAATCTTAGGATCAACGATGTTTCAAAGAATATTAAATAAAGCTTATTATTGATTGGAGAAGAAAAGGTAAATAAAATTAAGTTGTATCTGAAAAATATAAAGGTAAAATTAAAATAAATTGTTTTTATTACCTTGAAATGTCTCATCTTAAAATTTGCTTTGGGCCTGCATAAATGTTAGATCCGTCATTTATGTAAAAGTGTATAAATACAACTTTTTCTACTAATTTCATATATTTAATATTTTATTTTTATCTTGTGATTATTATAACATAAGAAACTATGTTTACTGATTATTTACACACACAGACGCTCATTTACTTTGCACGAATTCAGTCTATAAAATTTCTACAATATTAAGTAATTCATTAAATTTTAAAGAAAAAAAGTGAAAGACTTATATTATAGTCTAAAGAAATATTAGTAAAACATATTTATAGTAATATTTATTACTTTGGAAATGTTATAATGAATTTCCTATTAACTAGGCTAATGAATGCATAGCAGTAGGCTGGTTGGAATTGGGCTTCTCATTTTTGTCACGCAATAAGGACTGTGAGATCCATGGGTTTTGCCTACTTTATTTTTCACAATTGATTAAATAAAGGGGTAAAAAAAAAGTAGTCTTGTTCACAATCACAAGAGAACTTCCAAGTTCGACTGATGCAACTTTAAGAAGCTTTTCTTCATATCTAAATGAAGGGACACGAGTCTTGTGGGCTTGGGCCTTTTATGCCTGGGCCCTTCTGCATTTCCTTCACCTGACCAAATAAAGGGGAACGAAGTTGTGTTGCCGTTCACCCAGAAGTTTAACATATATCTTTTGATCATTTATAGTTACAGCTTTGCCAACACTTACGTTGAGATGTTATTAGGTGCATTTGGGATGAATAATACAAACAATGCATTATTTGTACGTCTAGGCTTCTATACTTTGATTCTATGAAAACTTGGGAATATTTATTGTCATTTTTCATTACCTATTTTCGCTTTTTTCAGTTTTTTTTATCTTTTAAAATTAAAAAATTGTATTATATCTGTATTATGTCATAATTCTTGTATCTCGAATTTCTAACTAACAATTTTAGAAATTAATGTTAAATATGATAATCAGTTGTAATTTATTTTCTCTATTTTTGTTTGAAGACCAACATAGGCTTTATTTATTGTAATTTTATATATAGTTATGGATTATTTTTTACTTATTATGTAAGATTAAATTCATTTTATTTTAAAAGAGAAATAATAACCTTTTTTAAATAAAACAATGAAAATTACTATTAAGTTAATATAAAGTTCAGAAAAAAAAAACTATTTTGTTAAAGCAAATTGATTTGGTTCTAGGGTGTTTAACTAAATTATTTGGGTTTGAAAGAAAACGTTTACAATAATCAAGTAATTACCAAACTTACATTAAAATATACAATAAATATATATATCTAGATTAGTTGTACATGAACAACAAAAGAACCTACTATTGTCTATATTTCTTAACTAATTAAGGATTTCACATATTCTCTGTCTATTTTTACTTCATCAACATTTTACAAAAATACAACTGTTAAGGAAAAATTATGGTCATGATTTAATATATACCTCGTGATCATTTTCAATAAATGTTAAAGCATGAGTATGAAAATTCAGAACTAAAATTTAACAAAGAGAATTTAGATTTCATCACTTCAAAAATATTTAACATTTTAGACAATAAAGTTTTACATTTAACATTTTTTACACACTTTATAACTAAATCATCATTAAAAACTTTAAAAACAACAATAAAAATATTGTTATTTATTTATTATTTTTTTTTTATCAATGACTCGTTTTTACTTTTTTTAATTATAAATATTTAACAATCATAGCATACTTATATCAAACCACCAAAATATTGTTTGAATTAGTAAAAATTGTGAGATGAAGTAAATTTAGAAGAAAACTTAGCAAAAATTAATTTAAAGGAATTAATTAAATCATAAGTGAAGTTAAATAATTTAAGTAAAATATAGCTTAAATTAAAAAAATTAGAAGTAAAACAAAATTAATGCCCATAATTTAGTTTTTGTCAATATTAAATCTTGATGTTATCTCCGATATGCATGGGGGAAAATTGAAGAAAAGTCATGTTCAACTCTCAAGTCACGTGTTAGGAAAAGAATAAAACTCTGACAAATATCGTGCTTGTAGTTAGTCACTAGAAGGAAGTGTAAGAGAACAATCGAAATCAACGATAAACTTATATAAGCCAAACAATGAATAGTCTAAAAAGTGTACAAAACAAAATTTAATGTTAGTACATTGTGCTATCCATTGTAAAAGATGAGAAGAAAAGTCAAGTTTTCAAGCCATATGATAAGAATTATTTTGAGTGAAAAAAAAAGAGATGAAATATTTCACTCTATCATTCACGAGTGAATCAGCAGCCCCGTTAGTTTAGTATAACAGTTCGACACATAAAAACTATTACTAGATTAAGAGACTATATACATAACATGAAGAATCCATTCTTTTGAAAGTAAAAAAATAATAATAATGACAACCATGAAATATATTTTAGAATTTGTGCATAAAAAATCGCCATAATTTATTTTATATTGAAAATATATTATACGTACGTGAGCAAAAACAACGGATACTAAAGCATCCATTGAATTGACTTTCATATTCAAACCCGCATCTTCAGCTTTAGATTTTTCTTATTTGAAATTCAAACTACATGTCATGATGTGAAGTCAGAATGTGCAACCACTTGTGTACACTTAATTATTGGGTTTTCGGAATCACTACAAACGAAGAACACATATTATAATAAGTCGACGAAACAGCCGTCAATAGAAAACGGCGAAGCAACACTTATTTATGGGTGTTGAAAAAGAAAACAATAAATGGGTATTTCATTAGTAAGTTTCAGTCAACACTATTGGAGGTGAACCTTTGAAAGATGAATGATTCAACAGGTGAGGGGTAGCTATTGACTGGGACTTAAATTATAGCACGAGGGTAAGTGGTGGTAGCTAGAAGATAGAGTTTGATTTTCCAGGTATTGTTGATGATACGAGGTTGTGGTGACTGTGGTGACATGAATAAGAGTAGAGGAATTAATAGAGGGTAAAAGAAATTTCACTATTTTGTTTTGAGTTTTGTTATACGACGTTTTATGAAACTTTCTAATAATCTTATAAAGTAAGCATTAAATAAAATATATATATAGTTTATGGTATTAGCAGTGTACTTTATAATATATTTTTTAATATGTAATCTTTATTATTAATTAAAATTAAAATAATTTTTTTAAAAATAATTAATATATCACTTTTTATTAAATTAATATATAATTTAATAATTTTAATTAAAAATTTAATAAAAATAAAACGTATTATTAACAGTGATCTGTAGTCAAATGAAGTTAATTGTGCGAGTTAAATGGATCAAACATCAACCCAGTCTACAGGGACTGAGTCAAACAAGCTGGGCATATTTTTCTTAAAAAAACTTTATAACTATATTAATAATATGGATAAAATATATGTATAAAAGTATTAAGTAGTCATCATATTTTAACATTATCATAATCTTACAATAATATAGTATGTAGAAATATTTAATATATTTATTACTTGTATTTTTTAAAATATACATATACTATCTTTAAACATATTTTTTTATTTTCACAATCAAACAAATAAATATTTTTATTTATTACAAATTTAATATAAAATATTTAATTGAAATAAGTAGGGATTTAAAAAAAAAGGCAACCTATTGTACAAATAATTAGTCTCAGTTAATTTTTCTGTTAGCCTAATCCAAATTAAAATAAGATCTAAAGGTTTTATTGTTTTTTTTTTCAAATATCTGAAGTTTAAAAGTCCAACCACATCTTATATTAGCATATTCAAGTTAGGCGAGACGGGAGCTACTGAGCCCATTGGACTTGGCTCCTTTTAGCAATTTTGACGATGTATATGAGTATATGACACTATCATTTGATATTTTTTATATGTTTTTTTTTTTTCTCTATATGTCAATTCTTCATTGTTCAAGTAATAAAAATAATAATAAAACTTACATGACTCCCTTAACTTAATAAAAAACCCCTCTTTCTTTTTCCTTGAATCAACTC